GGGGCACTCAATACATCTGCTTATTTACATCCAACACCCATGCTGCAGTAGTCACCAGCATGAGATTTTCTAGTTTAAAGACTAGGAAAAGACAATTCCGATGATGTATATTGAAGGTGGGAAGAGGTTTTGAAAAACAACAGCTGCTTTGGACTGGATGTTTGGAGGTGGGCTATTATGAAATGCATTCTTCATTAGCTGAATGCAGGAGGAAGCCAGATAGCTAACATCACTGCTAATGAAGCCAAATATCATATTACAGCTGTAACTGTATAGTAACTGTCTTAAAGTCATCATAACAATGGAGAGAACAGATTACTTAAACAACAGAAATGACTCGTCAGATGAAGAGGACAACTAGCTAAAAGCTAAAGTTAGCAAGAAAGATAGATACCTTAACCTCAGTGTGGTTTCCCAGCAAACACACAACATTGTCACAATGTTGCCTACTTTCTTGCACCATTGTCAAAAGGTGGCACTGCTAACGTCTCAACAGGCCTGTCACAACCACATTATTAAGTAATAGACTTCTGGCATTAAGACTACCTAATGGCAACTTTACCTTCCTTTGTTAAATTTATTTACATATATATATATATATATATATATATATATATATATATATATATATATATATATATATATATAACTTCATGGAGCATAACACTCATGCTTTACATATATTTCATACTTTACAATAGTCATCCTGCAGTTACAAGCACATAGTGATGTTTACTGTTTGCTAGTTTAACTGCAGTCAAGCTCATTATGTAGTAATGGCAGATATTAAATAAAGGTCCAATGATGGATCTTGTAAGATGAATTGCATTTGAATGACATTTAGCATTTTTAGTTGTTCGGGGTGAAGGTCAAGGGAAAAAACACCAAAACGTTTTATGACGCAGAATGCTAATTTAGCCCTTATATATCAAGAAAGATTGCCAAATAACATCCTGTAATAAAGTTCATTTCTTTTTATTGCACCCACACCCTTTTTAGTCATTTAGTCAGTATGCACATTAAAAACACAGAAATGTGGGTCAGACATTTGAACTGTTTTTCCGTAACTACACTATATACTGTGTGCGAAACACTGCTTGGTATTTGGGGAGCCCCATGTTGGCTTATTTACTCGTCATGGTTAATTTGCTTTAACGGCAACCAAAGAAAACTCACTCCACCAATCTCTTGGGCAATTTTTCAAATTGGGCGAGTTTTCAGATTTACAAATATGCCACGGCACATTGCATCTGAGAGAGTCAATCCTCAGCGGGGAGTAGATGTTTGTTCTGTGTTTGTGTAAAATGTCTACAGTGGCGCTATGGACAACGATGACCTGGTGCGCCCCACTGCCGCCATGTGTGCGTGTTTAGCTTTCTGCCAGCTAGTTTATTGTTAGCGAGCTGTTTCAACATCTCCGGCTAACATGGCTAATCTAGCATTGTGTTTATAGTTATTTTCAACTACCAATTTTTCTAGGTGATGATGTTAGCTGACGTTATTGTACTCTAACAGCTGTGAAGGAATTTTCCACAAAGCATTTATTTAGTTTGGACTCATTGCTGTGTGTTTGGTGTTCTCCACCCATTCTGGACACACCCTCAAATTCAAATCTTGACAGCTACGACAAAGATAAAGAGCCACACCTTTCTGTGTTGAGCTGAAGTGATACAAATGCCTGTATTTTTGAGGTTAATAACTGTCCTTAAGGCAACAGCGGAACTTGTTTTCCCCAGCGTTTACGCACTTCCGTTTCTTGTGAAAAGGGCCTACTGCTAATTCAGTCAAACCGATGAGGCTGGGGGATAAAATGCTGCCACTACAGAACATTACATTCACACAACAAATGACTTTGGTTTTTTGACCGACAGTGTCCCTTTAACTGCGGCAAGGCAGTAGGTGTAGTTTGCCTCTGATGATGTGGGGTTGTCACCTCATATGATTCAGACTCAACAGAGACAAAACCGCCTGCTCAGATTCAAGAGTGACTCAGTGATTCATGTTTGCAGCTCGACAGAACAGCTTATTCAAGCAAGGCTGACCATATGACTGAAATCTGCGTTGATTTCTGACGCTTCCATATGAATTATTTGCCGAGGTGCTTGTCATTAATTCAGCAATTCAGCTGCCTCAATCTCTCTGGTGAGATTGCACAGCAGTAGCTCACACAGTTTGCTTAAAATGAAGCAATCATACCAAAGGTTGCACTCAGTGTGTGTAAAACTTTGGTGGTAAAACTGTTGGACCTCATCTCAGCATCTCGCTGCAGCCTCGTACAGCAGCCCACACCCAGCCATGCGCTAGATGAATTTCTCAGTCCAAACTGGTCTGCGATGCCAGCCAATAGGAGGCGGCCGGGACTTCCACGTCAGCCAATCGGATGCCTGTTGCTAGGGCTGGGAAGGTACATCGCCTTGATTAGTGCCATTCCCATTGGCACCGTTCAGACATCCAGTGCAACCTGCAAAAAGATAAAGCTGGAGCATCAGAGAGAGCATTAGAATTCAGGGGCGACCTCTCTCCTCCCCTCCGCCACCACTCTGAGGTGGCACGACTCTGTCAGGGAGACAAAAGACCACCGTGTGTGACAAGCAAACCTCACCACGCTGAGGTCACTGGAAACCGGAACATTTTGGACCTGGCTAAATTGGATAATGAGCATTACAGTGGCAAACACAAGCTTTGATGGCCTATTTGAAATGATCATTTCCAAAGCAGTGCGATTGTAAGGCCATTATTATGTACTGGCACTCACTGACCTAATTATTCCAAAACATCATTAACCCACATTTAACAAAGACCACTGTTCCTGCATAATTTGGACTATATTAGAATATATCACACTCCAGCAGGATGGCTTTTAAATGTATGTAGAGACACTGAGGTAAAAGCTGGCTTGGTCTAGCTGCTACAGTGGGGACAGAGCCATTCTAGGTGTAAGTAATTCCTGTGACCTAGTTTAGAACTCTAGTTGAACAAAAATCCTGACGAAACCATGTGAACAAGTAAGAAAAATGCATACGTAATCCTGCAGTCAGCCCAACTGTGGCATTTCAGGTACAAACATTTGAATGGAATTTGTAATCCTACTCACATTAAGTAGCTTAAAGAAACAATTTATCTTAAGGTACATATCGATAATTTCCAATAAGGGCTATTTATTGAATTTAGAAGGTTTAAAATGGATCATTTAAGTTGTGGAGTGACTGTAGTGTTTGTCTGTCTCATCAAGCATTAACATTAGCGCATCTCATATGGAGGAGCTCATGCCGTACTGCTTTACTGTTCGATGGATCAAATGAAGCATACGTACTGTATGGCCAAATGTATGTGGACACCAGACCATCACACCTATATGAGCTTGTTGGACATCCTGCAAAACCCTGAGCATGTAATAAGGAGTTGGACTGCCCTTTGTGGTTATAACAGCCTCTTCTGGACAGGCTTTTTAAATTAGATTTTTGTGTAAATTCCATTATTGGTCCAGCCTCCAGTTTAAACCCAGAGAGCATTTTCAGTGGTGTATACTAAATGTGTTGTGAAAGTGGGGGTTAACGTTCCTGTAAGTTAGTTCTGTCTGCTATGCACTGTGACGTTAGCTTTATCTAGCCCTCGGCTCTTCACCTTCTACTTATTTCACTTCACGTTAAGTTTAGCTTGAGTAAAGGGAACCAAAAAAAAAATGTCATTGTACTTTGTAACCTTTCAGTGCGACTTCAAAACAGTTGGGCTAAAGTGACTAGGTATGTTATCCCAGGGTAAAATGACCAGGATAAAAAAAAAAAAAAACCTAATGAATAATTCTAAATACTATGTACACATAATGTTTTATTCACTTTCACTCCTAAAGCACTGGGTTAAAATGGGGCTTTTGAAAAAGCCGTAAGGACACAATAAATTCCTCTCTGTCTCTGCTGAGCATTTCCCCGAGTGTGAAAACACTGAGAAAACATTTGCAGTATTGTCTGCACAGCTAAAGTGTTCCACTGGTTTAGGTTATTTAAACTGTTAAAAAAAAATCTGGATGGTTTTACAACGGTGTATATATAGCTGAATTCCAGGGTGACCCAGAGTGACATCTCATTTTAATATGTAAAGCATGTGGGCGTGGTTTCAAAAATCACTTATTTAGAGTGTTGCAGTCTGTAGTGTGTCCAGCAGGGAGCACTTTTGGCATGCAAGTTGGCTATTGCTATTGGCTTAACATCAGAGCTGGTTCAAGGGAAGTCTGGCCACTTCTTATTTCTCCTGTTATATCAAAAACATAACTGACAAACACCAGAGTGCACCCAGGGGCAAGTCTTAAATGAATGGGGGTGAATGAAGCTGAACAGGTAGGTTTCTAGCCACTTGTCCAGGACCTTCGTTTAATATATTCCACTAAAAATAAATAAAACTAACCAGTATATTTCATATGCTGGTCGGTGAACGGAGCAGCTCATTGGCTGAGTGAAGCGGATCTCTGATGTCATGATCATACATGAGGCGCCTTTATAAAGTCTTATAACTGGAGTTTAAAAGAGCTCAATAATATAACAGCAGTATTAAAATGTTTTGTGCTGTTCTGTGTTCAGAAAATTAATGTATTCTTCAGTATAAAAATGTTTGTGTTTACAAACTGATTTTGCTCAAATGCTCCATCTTAACCTATTCATTTTGAACTCGTTCGTTAAAATGACAGGCGAAGAAGTTTTCAAAAGATGTTGCATTACTCAGTATTATTTCATTTTAATCTGTGATCTTTGTCAAAGATTCTCATTAAAACCGTTAATGTTCAAAAAAGCATATAAAATGAAAATAGAAATAACAGAAATTAAACATTTTATTAAAAACAGTTAGATTTTTGGTAAGGGTTTTCATTTAAATATAAAAAGTTTTATTATTTACAGGCTTTTAATTAACAAAAATAAATGGGGTATTTCAAAGTATGATCATCAGCACTACCACCGTTGTTGTGATAATTATGTTCTTAATGCAAAGTTAAAATAACATTTATTTTTTTATTTCTTGGCTTGAGACACAGGGATGGATTTTTCGGCACCCTGAAGTGCAGGCTTAGGCAGAGGAGCCTCGATGGTCAGCACGCCGTCAGGAGAGAGGGAAGAGGTGACCTTCTCAGCATCCACTCCAGGAGGGAGACTTTGGAGAGAGAGAAGAGCTTATTTTGTTTCTATCACTGACAGTCCTGCTGAGCGGTGCAGGGCTATCTCTTTAATGTGATACTATTTTAACTTACGTATATTTCCTGGTGAAGCTTCTGGACACGTATCCATGCTCGTCTCTGCGCTCCTCATGTTTGCCTGATGATAAAAACACATCTATGTCTATCACAGACGCCTGTCACATGCAAAACACAGTAAACACTGGTCCACTGCAGGGAGCACTGGGTCAAAGACTGTCTCTCACTAGTGTGCATTTACTCTTTACCTGAGGGACAGTTTGTGTGTTTCTTCTGACTTGGCATTTTTGGGACAAGGAGTGAAACGCACTGATTAGTAAAATTAACAGAGAGTCATAGTCTGTTTGTTCTGGTCAGTTTCTTCAGCTTTGTTTCGTGTCCTGCATAAGTCTAGTTCTGATATTTATCTTGGTTCAGACACTGAAAACAATCATAATTGATTTTTAAAATGACAATTTCCCAAACTCTCTTTCTGCTTTACAACAAAATAGGCTGTTTTTGGTACTGGGCCTGTGAGCCTGATGTATGTAAATGAGCTCTGTTTGGATTGACTGCCTCACTGTGTTTCATTCAAGAAGCAGTCCAGGCTGAAACACTCCTTATAACTTCAGAGTGCATGGGTGGAGCTAATCTGCTATAGACTAAACAGACGGATATATGTGATTTTGTTGGTTTTTGTGACATCACAAAAACAGTAGATTAAAAATGGGCTGTTTTAAACAGCTTAGTTTCCATGTATGGACTGTATGAACTGGGGGGCGAATGGTACGTTTTGAAATTTTTAATAGTGTTTACATACTACATCAAACTCTTTTATTTTAAAAAACCAAGGAAAATTGCAAATTTGGAATTACATTAGAAATGTTTTTACAGACTTCCCTAGTGCTCCCTCAAAATCACCCCTTGATGATATTCTGGAAATAGATGCTAATGGCAGAAGCATTATTTCTAAATTATATAACCTCATATTCTCTTTAGCCCCTAGCCCTGGTACTGTTATTAAACAATAGTGGGAAAAAGAACTACAGTTCACTTTTGAGGAAGATGATTGGGACAAGATTATTCGCCGTATCCATAGCTCTTCAATCTGTGCTAAACATAGTCTTATTCAGTTGAAGTTGGTTTATCGAACTTACTGGACAAAGGTTAAACTCGCTAAACTTAACTCAGATCTGATGATCTTTGTGATCGATGTTCCCAAGCTCCAGCTACCTTGTCTCATATGTTTTGGTTTTGCCCTGCTTTAAAATCCTTTTGGCAGTCTGTGTTTGGTTGCTTCTCCTTTATTCTCGATTCAAAAACTGAACCTTGTCCCCTAGTCGCTCTGTTTGGTTTATCGCCCAAAGATTCTATTATGTCAGCTGCATATTCCGATGCCCTTGCTTTTTGCACCCTTTCAGCTAGACGTCTCGTTTTGATTCAGTGGAAAAGTCCCACTCCACTTTCATTTGAACACTGGTTTAAAGATGTTGCCTCATTTCTCTACTTGGAAAAAAAATTAGACACACACTTAAAGACGACACACGCCACTTTCTTTGCGTATGGGGCCCCTTTTTTTCTCCTTCTTCTCTGAGTTCATACAGTTTGACGTTCCCAGTATATCGTGCATTAAGTTGTGCATATATTTGTTTTTGTTTGGTAATATATAGTATATAAGTTTGTATATATATGTATATACGTATACATGAATATGTGTATGTCTATTTTCCCATTTATTTGTTCATTTGACACTCAACCTTGTCTGGTGTGGCGACACAGGTGACGGGTGGATGAATGTGGGTGGGCGGGTGGATTTGGGTTAGCGTGTGGATGTGGGTGGGTGGGGTGGGGGCTGGGTGGGTGGGAATGGGTTTAGTTGGATTGGGAGATTTGGGATGGCTTATTTGGCTAACTGTCGCGAATAAGCAAACAAAATCTACGCATGTATCTTGTTTCGGCTTTGTTAGCCTTTTCCTTCCTTCATACCCAAAAAACAGAATGGTTAAAAAAAAAAAAATCAAGGAAAATTAAGTTTCCCATGATATGGGCCACACTGTGATGGACTGGTGACGTGTCCAGGGTGTTTCCTGCCTTCCACCCAGTGAGCGCCCCCCTGCGACCCAGAGGATAAGCGGCTTAGATGATGATGGGTGATAAGGGCCTTTTGAGTCAATCAAAACATGAATATATATTAACATTCAAAACTTTGGAATCACTTGTTATATGAATAATTTTTCTTATTTCATGTCTGACTTTTTTTCTGAAGTACTGTTGCTACATAAGAATCCTTTTGTAAAGCATGTAAAAGAAAAGTCAGTTTTACATTCAACACTGATTCCAAACTTTTGAAGAATAATGTTCACACTTACCAGTGATTTCCACCATTCCATCCTTGGTTTTGACCCGTCAGTTCCTCAGGGGTAAACTGATTGACATCCATGCTGACCTTCCACTGGTCTCGGCTTTGCTTCACATCAGCCATGCCTCCACTGAGCTGGCGGGACAACATGCGTGTAAAAGGGTTTTGGGAGAAGAGTCCAGCGTCCATCATGGAGCCTGAGGGATGGAGATAACCTGCCCAGTGGCTGCCGGGCCAACAGAAGAGCTCCTCCGGCAAGACCGGCATGCCGAAGGCCTGGTCAAAAATCCGGCTGCTGTGCTGCCAGTCGTGGAAAGGATCCCAGCTAGGCTGGCGCAGCATTGTGAAGGGAATCTGTCTCTCGGCCATCGCAGAGTGGTCAACCACCTTGTTCTTGCAAGGACAAGTGAAACCCTCATTGGCAATGGGCCTTATAAATGCTTCTCTGTCCCCTCCGCTACCTCCAGCTGGATATTTTTAGAAAGATCTAGAATGACCGATGAGGAGACACCACTAGCCTGGAAGTCGCGAGAAAAGATGGTCATGGCTCAATTGACTGTCAACAGTCTCAGTGTCTGTTCAGTATCACAGAACAGACTGCAATCAGCCGAACAGCTAACGCAGTCCAAGAGCAGCTATACAAACGCAGTCTATATATTTATCTCAGCAGCTCCAAAACACTGGGTTTTTTAGGCACACTTACCTTTTTAGTATACTATTAATACAAATGAGCATTCCGAGTTGTATTTTTCTTCAACAAATGAGTGTTTTTTTCCTTTAACGTAACACATTAAAGACTAACTAGTGTTATATATATAATATATATATTTATATATATATATATATATATATATGTCATGCTATAGTCTTTGCTACTTTTTTCCTAATACTAAAAATGAATAACTTTTACTTATAATGGTCTTGGCTGGAAATTAAATAAATGAAGTGGGGTTGGGGGTCTCTGATGTTTGCACACTACTGTATCTCAGGCAAACCTGCTATTCATACCAAGGAGGACACCTTTATGAACAGAGTGTTGCAAAATATATACAGCATTATACACATAAATACATATGCATGTACATATGCATACATACAGTACATATACATACATACATAGCCATTTTATGGTAACAAAACCTTTGCAGATATTTTTTGTCTTACTTCTGAGAAAATATACGTTTCAAAGGATGTCCTCTGAATGACTGCACGGGTTGGAAGTATTTAAGTAATGGGGCAGCAGGCCTGGCAGACCTTTGAGTCGAGTATGAATGCTGCTGTTGTGCATTAAAAGCTTTAGAGGACACTCCAGTCATGTGTGTACAGAACATTCATGAATGTAAGCTGAGTCACTGTCTGGATATATTTTTACTCATGCCAAATGTTTGGTACATTAGGGGGAGACATTGCACATGAGGGAATATGTAGGAGGCGGCATAGCCAAGACAACTAGAGCACATAATGGCTACTGCCATGTAGGTAAACACACTTCTGCTCTATTGTGTGGTGTTTACAGATCTGCTCTTTCTTAACATCCCAGGCTTATTACACACTAAGGCTTATTATTCAGTTACTACAGGGACTTCAGTACAAACTGGTGGAGCCATTCTTAGGTTATAGAAGAGTATAATAAAACTTTGGGCCTGCTGGTGGGCCCTAGTTTTTAAGAGGTTAAACAATAATGTAATGAAAATACTGAATTGGTTTTAAAGCTAAATACTGGCCTGTCTACCATATGAGATCTGACTAAACTGAGGTTTATGAACCAAGGTTTAGATGATATAACACAGTATATACAGCATAGAGGAGCAGTTTATGTAATATTATGTGGCCATACAGGCAGTTTGTGCTAACTTTTCTTGCTATTTTTCCCCTCTTCTGCTCACTGTATTTGCTGTGATTGCTTTTATTAGTTACAAAAGGTGAATAGTGCAATGATTTTCCAACAAAGAAAACCTGTATTACCAAATTAGTTCAAACTACAGTCCCACAGTAAACAACGATTTAAAAAAAAACAGTTTTCAGGCCTTAGATATTATCAAGGATTATGATATATTTAAAGCCAAGGAATTAATTGAGATAGTAAGAAGCTAAATTTCTACAAAATCATCATTCATAGGGACTTTCTATTGGGAGTTTGCCAAACCCTAACTCTAAATTTCCACTTGTGAAAATAAATACCTTTTTGATTTCTTTTAAAGTTAGGCCGAAATATATAAATATAGAGTTTAATTTTTGAATAAAAAACTTTAAAAAATTGCTGTCCCACATTTTCATGTCACTACCGAAACATCAAGAGTTTTAGTCTATAGGCAAAGCCTTATTTTAGCCACGCCCATTTTAGAGCAGGAAGTGAGACTGTTCCTCATGGCCGCATGGTGAGCAGTTAGCAGTTGTTTTGAAGTAAATGTGTTTCAAAGTCTTAAAAAATCAGTGTGTAACTGAAACACTACCGAAACATTTTCTGCAATTAAGTAAATATTTTTGTATTTTAATGGAAAAATATGATTTTTTTTTGTGTGCCGAGTTTTTGCAAGTCATGTACTGGCAGTTTTTAGAATCAGTATGCTGCGTGTATCAAATATGCTTCTAGTCAAATTCTAAAGATGGCCTCAATTAACGACTTCTTTGCAAACACTAAAGTTCTTACTAAAGCCTGAGTAGACTGATAAATCAGTGTGAAAAGTTATTATTTCTTATTATTTCTCTCTGAGCTTATCTGAGATCAAACTAATTATCTCAGTAGTATATACGTCTGTGAGTGATAAGTTTAGCATGAGTGTTGTACTGATCATGGATTGTGAGAGCAGCAGTGAACTGAAGCAGGTGGTGAAAGGGAAAACAGCTTGAGAATTTTTAGAACTTAATTTAAATGACAAGCAAGTTTTTCATTAAATATATCACCAGAATAATTATTTGAAGAAAACTGGCAACCAGTAACAGCAAGAAACAGTGTGAATTAAGTAAAAACAGCAACGGAAATTCCCATGTGCCTCTATATACTCCTGCAGAATGCTCATAGTTCTGCAATATATTTAGGCTACCTTACATGCACAACATTTTTAAGATCTACCCAATGATGTTAAAGTCAGAGAACTGTAAGGGCCATTCCAAAAGCATCAATTTTCATTTTTTAAGTAGAACATGCTGGAGTTGAGGTATGAGATATGTTTTGGATCACTGTCCTGCTGTAGAAGCCAGCCTCTTCTTAGCTGACTGTTTTGCATTTGCTTGCATTGGTGATATTTAGTGGAATCCTGTGGTGGCTCCTGCCAAAACAGGTGTCCAGTTGATTGGCTGATTTAACAGCTAGCTAACTGGACAATTGTCACATTGCATTGTGCAAATTAATCAGCTAGCTAACTTGACACTATCACATTGCGTTTGTTTTTAAAATTCATATGGCTTGTCTAGATGTTGTTTTCTATACTTCAGTTGTTGACTTTTGTAATGAGGTCACAGATAAGTTTTCCTTCTGATGACTCTTCTATCCAGATCATGTTTGTGTAAGCAACGCTGCACAGTAGAACAGTACACCACCACTCCTGTCAACTAAAGCTTACTGCAGGTTCTCTGTCACATTGGGGTTTTGCTTTGCATATATAAGCAGTTCTATTTGAGAGTTTTCTTGGCCTTCCAGGTCTTGCCTTGACTTCCATAGTTCCCCTTGACTGCCATTTCTTAAGGACATTTTGGACAGTGCAAATAGCAACTGGAAGCTCTTTGACATCTTTTTAGCCTTCCCCTGCTTTGTATGCATCAATTTAAGCTTCATTGATCTGTCTGCCCAGATCTGGTCAATTAAGGCCTAACCAGTGAATTGGTTGTCCAAACTTTTGCACATGCCAAAATTACTATTTAGTTTGTTTTTTATTTTTGAAGTTGATCAAATGTAAAGTAAGTAAACTTTTGCATACAGCTGTAGTGATTTAGAAAGCTTTAATTAGTAAGGACACCTTAAAAAAAAAGCCTTATCAATCCCCACGGTTTTAAAATGGGATGTCCTACAAGCTAATATGGGTGGAATGTATAGGTGTCACATACTTTTGGCCATATAGTGTAAATAAGTAGCAAAAAAAGGACTGAGTTAGGGGTGGGCAATATGACACATCATTTTTGTGTTAAATTATGTCACATTATGTCACAATATGCTTTTCTGAGCATTCCATGGAAATCTCAGTGCTTACAGAGCATATTTCATTACAAAGAGAGCAAAATTAAATGAATTTTGTTTAATTAGCGTATGTGAAACAAAAAATCACTGTAATATAGATTTTTACTGTATTTTTAAATGTGGCACTACTGATTCTGTTGCTTGTTTCAGCTTTTTTCAAACTTCAGAGAAACTAAATATCATGAAGATGTCTTGAAGCATTGTGATGCTGAATTTCTGCAAAATCATCCACCCCTAGATTAAGTAAACTGGTTAAATAGTGAACCTAATTATATAGATAATGAAATAAAAATAACTTTTAGCCTGTGGTTTTGTCATTTGGCCTGTGATTGTGTCTTTTAGCCTGTGGTTTTCCAGCATAGCTGCAGATAATGGATTATAATGAAAGGTTACGTAGTTCGGAGTGAATTCCAAAACACACCAAACAATATGCCGTCACCTCGTTGCATGGCAACTGTTGCCACAGTAACATCAGCTCTCACTTATTCTCCGCTGAGAAACCGGTCTCTCTGTCATAGCGCAGAGCACGAAGACACACAAAGTGAACATTAAATGCATTTGTGAAGGGACTGTCAGTCACACAGCTGACAAAAGCAGATTCAGCTTTCTTTTCGGGTTACAGACCACAGCTTTTAGTAAGAGTGAGTAAGAGTCTAAGAGTAAGTGTCCTCTGAGATAAGATTCAGTTCAACCATAACACAAGCACTGAGGAGGTGAATCAGCTGTTTGGGCTGTTCTGCATGAAAGAAACGTTGGTTGAGGGAAGCAACTGCACCTCCTAAGAGAATAATTATCAGAGATGTTTTCATACAGTCATATTAAAACCTCATAACTCAAATTCTTTGATTTTACTAGAATTTCTCACAGCTTTTGAAAGCGCCAGCTGCCCTTAACAATGAACGTTTCATTAGAAATGATCCAAAATTACTTTACAACCCTTCTAGAAAAACCACTTGCAAAACCAGTACATCTTGTGGTTTGGATGCTGGTATGCTGGTCAACCAACATGGCCATGCTGGGTGACCAACTAAACCAGCATCAGTCCAGCACTAGACCAGCTTCCATGCAGTATCCATGCTAGTCTAAGCTGTTTTTTTCAGCAGCGGAAGTCTCTTTACATTACTAAAGTTAAGAACACTTTTCCTTCTCCTATAAAGTTTCTATTATAAGGTATTCTTAGAACATATATTAACATGTAAAGATGGATATAAAAGCCAATAAATGTCTCACCTTTTCTAAAACAGTAACGCCTCATTCTCCAGTGCGCACATCTCACAGCAGGACTAGCTGTATAAAGTGTTTAAAAGTGCTAAAAAGAAGATAAAGGAAGCAGACGAAAAGTTGTCTGTCTGAGCCATGGTGCCCATGTGATAAGGGAAGGGTTTCGTACTGACATGTATTATAGACAACTTTCAGGAATTTCCTTATTTAAGATAAAGGTTGGTGGGACTGAATTTACAATAAATACACATACAATAAAAATCAATGCTATATTATAATTATGTCAAAGCTAATTCATTTTTAAAAACTTGTTATGTCCAAATTCTGAACAAACGGATAAACTGCATTTAGGAATGAACTTCCCAATGCTATATTATATACATACATGTGTATATATATATATATATATATATATATATATATATATATATATATATATATATATATATAATGTTTTATTCTAAGGAGGGTAAAAAGAAGTTGGTCACATCAAAATTAATGATGACTGTTTTTGACACACAAAACACTTACATTTTTGAAGCAGGGAAGCTCAGGGAAAAAGGATCACCTCACGTTTTAAATAAATTTGATTTTTACTCACCAGCATGACCAAGTTGGCCGATCAGTGTGACTTAAACAAAAAGCATACCCTATGCTGGCCAACCAAATAAGATGGTTGAATAGCACAGTTATGGTTCCATCAAGGGCAGCTAGATGTTTAGCTTGTCAACCTACTAGACCACCAAAGACCAGCTTAGACCATCTGAAACCAGCTACCAGCAAAAGCTGGTCTTGACTAGATTTTTCAGGAGGGCCAGTTTTGGTAGTTTTTAGTTTCTGAACTATGTTTTCAAAACTAGACAAGAAAAGTGATCACTTTCACTTTCAGCCTCTCAAAAATCTACTCTGTTAGTGTGTCTGTGAAGGCAACCATATGAACAAAGGAAAGAGCAACTCTGAATGATGCTATTCCCAGAGTAACCACAAGAGGTCACTGTTGTACAGGTGTCTCATACTGTGTACTTGCACACAGGGCCAGAAAATGAGTTACTTTGTACGTCTCATACAAATGAAATATACAAATTTGTATATAAATAGGATTTCCATCAAATACCAGAAACATTCATTTATTTTATCTCAAGCAAAAAGTAACAAAAATATTCTTTGTTTTCCTACAGAACATTCAGCCAACTATGCAAGCAGTTTGTGAACAATGTGTAATCTATAGAAGATCAAACAGAACACAGTAGCAGTGCAGTAAGATGGTAAATAACCTTAAAAACAACATCTTATACAAAAATCTAACCTGACACAATGTCAATACTTATTAGGTGGACATCATACAGCCATTCAATAATAGTTACACTACTGACATATTAAAACCTCTAGCACTGTAAGTTGTAAAGTATGTGTAATGATCTTAAGTCATATTTATGCAATTAATAATCGCCCCTCTGTAATCTCCTCTTAATGAGACAGCAAAAAGCTCTACTCTTGGCACTCAGTAAGTGGCGATGTGTGCTTTCATTGCACTTTAACTGACCAACACTAAAGCTCTTTGGGATCCCGTTTGCTGATAAAGGGCTCATGCAGCGGTTTGCAGGCTCAAAATATGTCTCCTTTTGTACATATAAATATACATATACATATGGCCAAATTCTATTTTCACATTGTGTAACAATGTGTTGCTCTGTTAAAAGTATAAACTCAAAATGCCATTAAGTCAATTTACACTACTGGAAGATGCATATTTTCTGCTATATAGCTGTGTAAAAACATACAGATTACAGAAATGGCAAAGGCAAAGCAGTTACATATTCACGTATCTTCATCCTCATAAAGGTCCTCCAGTTCTCCTTCTCTGCTCCCATCACTCGCTCTGCTGTAGAGGGAAACAAGATCTGTTAAGTTAGAAATGCAATGATAAGGTGTAACATGCAATAAATCACTAGTGTTAGATCTATCTATAACAACCCTACCCACAAATTGTGCTTACAGTCAACAACAACTATGTATATATATATATACCTTGGCATAGATTCGACAAGTCTCTGATACTTGAGAGATGGAATGTAATTTTTCCAAAAGATATTCACTCAAATGGCAGTTTGATCAGGTGACCGTCCATAAATTGTCATAGGAGTTCAATTTTGGTGATGTTTGGTGACTGTGAAGGCCGTAGCACATGATTAACATCAAGTTCACACTCATCAAACCATTCAGTGACCCCTCGTGCCCTGTGAATGGGGGCATCATCTTCCTGGAAGAGACCACTCCCCTCAGGATAGAAATTTTTCACCATAGGATAAAGGGGGTCAGTCAGAATATCTTTGTATTTGCAGCTAGCCGTCCTTCTAAGAAGACAAGTGGACCCAAACAATGCCAGCAGAATGCTCTTCGCAGTATAACAGGGCTACCAGACCCTCTCACTGTAGGGGCTTTGCATTCAGGCCTGTGCCGATCACTTTCACTTTCACCTTAAATTCACTGCCACCTTAAATTATTTGCTACTTTAAATCCACCGCTCCCTTAATGCCACAGATACGTCCAATGCCTCCTTAAATTTGTTCCTATCTTAAATGCACTGCCACCTTAAATTCAGTGCTACCTTAAATTTACTGCCACCCTTGAATGTCCTGAACATTCCACCATTCATTTTCTATTCTCTTCTAAGCCAACTTAATAAAAACAGGGTGATTACTAGCAGGATTGCTTTTAAACTGCATACAGGCAAACTCACTGAGGAGCAGTTCACAGTGTCTTATTTGGACAATCCACGAATTTAAAGAAAGCCTTTAAATGCTTGGAACACTTCATCAAATAAGGGTAAAATGCTATGAGGCTACATAAAGGATTGGCAAGAATCAAAGCGGTACCATAAGGTTACCTTAATGATGGGTGAATGTTCACAGAGGCGCGAAACAACGAAGTGTCCCTGTGAACAATAACCGAAGAAAATGACAGTGTCAGCATTGATGTGTTAGCTGGAGCACATAAGGAATGTGTGCTCCGTGCATTCAGAACGTACGAGATGAGGTTTCCTGGGGCAGACATGGATCTGCCCTGCCTGCGGCTCAGAAAGTCGAAGGGGTTCCCAAAAGAGCGCTTTCTCAGCATGGACTTCACCAGGATCTGTGGAATTGAGAAATAAGCCTGCATCAGGCATACAGTGCACTGCTCATCAGAAGTTTAAGGATTCCTTGCCTTCTTTTAAAATTTGAATTCTTTCGCTGTATTCAGTTAAGTAAGTAAAATGCCTGCAAAATTAAGGTTTTGCTAACATAAACTTCTATTTACTAATACTTCTATACTTTAGGTATGTTCTGACACTCAGCTCTGTGTGTCTTGCTAGGTATGAACAGCAGGTTTTGCCGAAATAATGTTTAGACAGTTTGCTTCTGCAAATTATTGTTGAAAACACACATAGAAAATCTTCTGGTCAAAAGTTGGTTTAACAGCTAATAGCAGGGAAAGCAGGGAAATATTATTTTAACAATATATTACTAAAATATTTAGATTATTAATAATATAAATACTATTCACTTGTTATATATATTATTATTTATTACAGGAGATGTACACCCTTGTACATCCAGGCACCCCTGGTCAAATGCCATGTTTTGTTGAAGTGAAATAAGCGAACACATCTTCTATAGGGATCACACTTCTGCATATTTTAATACACAATAACTGTTTAACATATTGGGAGAAAAATAAAATATAAAATATTAAAAAAATATAAAATTCCAAAATGCCCATTTGCAACAATGTAAATCATGAAAAAAATAAAATTTATGAAAGTGGTTTATATTGTGTCCTGGAATGAAACTATTAATTTTATGTTTTCTTTTTTCCAATATATCAAACTCAACAAATAAATTCAAATTGTGCATTTCTGCATTAGCCAATAAAATACATTCTCTGTACATGATGTGTTCGCTTAGACAATCGACATGTAATTTGCCCAGGGGTGTTCAAACTTTTGCATACAACTGTAGGTGCACTTTGTAGGGTTTACAATTATTCACGGCAGCACAATTCATCAGCCCCCTCTATCCTGTTCTTCAATGGATAATGACCACCACAGGACCACTACCAACCAGATATTATTTGGGTGGTGGATTATTCTCAGCACGCCCTGCGATGGACTGGCGACCTGTCCAGGGTGTATCCTGCCTTCCGCCCAATGACAGCTGGGATAGGCTCCAGCACCCCACCGCAAACCAGAAGGATAAGCGGTTTAGATGATGTATGAATGTATGTATGTATTATTCTCAGCACTGCAGTGACGTTGACATTGTAGTGGTGTGGTAGCATGTTGTGCATGCGTATCAGGCAGATATGCGTTGCTGGGGTTTTAACATACCTGGGTTGACAATAGTCCACTAAACAAAAAACATCCAGTCAACAGTGGTTCTGTGGTCTAGTGAGGGCTAGAGGATGACTAATACAACTTTGGATGTAAAATTATGTGCCTAACAATGTGGACAGCAAATGTAGACAGTGTTTAAAAACTCCAGCAGCACTGCTGTGTCTGATCCACTCGTACCAGCACAACACACACTAACACACCACCACCACCACGTCAGTATCACTGCAGTTCAGAGAAAGATCCACCACCCAAATAATATCTGTCCAGAGGTGGTCCTTTGGTGGTCTTTTTTATTGATAGTAAGTGTAGAAGGGGGCTGAACAATTAATGCAGCAACAGGTGGGCTACAGTTATATTATACTGGTTACATATAAAGTGTGCCTTTATGGTGATGTACCAATACTATGGCATTTCATGTGGTGTTTCTGTTATTTTGCACAACCTCTGTATGTTATCTTTTTATAAACTGATAAAAAAAATGCTCATTTGCATTAGGACATTAAAAACATTTCACAGATAATACAGTCACGTGCAAAAATTTGTACACCCAGGTCAAATAACGTATTGATTTTTTTAAGTGAAAAGAAGTTAGCATATCTGAGTTCAACATTTCGGAAATAAAAAAAACATAAAATGTGCCATTACTTTTGCACAGGCCACATTTTAGTTTAAATAAACAGTAATTGTGTATTAAAATTTGCGGAAGTGTGTTCTCTGTAGAGGATGGGTTCACTTATTTTTACTTAGAAAAACAACAAAACGTGTCATTTGACCAGGGGTTCCCAAACTTTTGCACACGACTATATATAAGACAAGATAAATTAATGGTGCGTACCACAGTAGACAGGCTGGGAATGAGCTTGACAGAGTTCTGCACCTCCTCCTCTGTCACCTCCACCACCGTGCAGTGCTCCTCCTCCAGAGGCAGCGACTCCAAACCGTTGAGCGTCACCCATGGGTTCAGCTACCAAAACCACAGGAAGATCCACAGAGAGGACAAGAAATCTAACTTCTACACCCAGTATAGCTTAAAACTACACATCAGCTCACTGACAGCCAGGTCTGGATCATCCAGTGGGGTTTACAGGCACGTGTCCAGGGACCTGAGCCATTAGGGGGACCCTGGCGAGTGATTATCAGAAAATTTAAACAGCTGTTTTGAATGCTTTATCGTGGTCAGTAAAGCAGCCATCTTTTGATAGGTCTGTTGCTTGTTCACGTTTTGACACGCACTTGACATTTCCAGTGTAGTTAGACATCCTGTATGCTTTTGCAAGGTGAGGCGATACTATATTTGAACGCCAGCTTGTTGTTAGGACACGGTGTAATTGTGTGTTATGGCCAATCATAATCTTAATGCTCTCCACGTCTTTCTCCTCCAATCACTGCTCAGTAATCGTTACACTATCCTTCATTGTCTCGCTCAAGCTTTCAGGTTTTTAGCATTGAGCTAGTGTTCCTGTGAATGTACTTTGAATATGAAGCTCCAGGTATTTAAGGGATGTACCTGAGGGATCTGTAAAAGTCAGACATGAAACTTCAGCAGAGTAGAAGATGCCCATTTGTCGAAATGCTGAAAATGTCAACCACAAAGTTGTTTCATTCTTGTCGGCAGTGATCTGCGTCATCAGAGGTAAGATATAAATGAAAGAAGAAGAAAAAAAAAATTCCACGCCTGCTGTGGCAGTATACCTTGTGTCTGCTTCACAGTTTGTTTTTTTTAGTTTGCTGCTTTTTCTGTCTTTATGCACATTTTAGCTGTCCAATTGTAATTTATGTCATCTTCACTGGGGTTAATATTTTGCTTGTCAAAGACTAGATGCATGATTTCTTGGGAAATGCTGCACTGCTTATTGAGTTTATGTTAACCTGTGTTCTAATTAATGTGTGTGTAATCTTATTACTGTTTTGTCATCATTGGGGGAAAAAGAAGCGTTCATACTGGTGACATGCCAACACTTGGATTAGTGTGCTGCCATTGTGGTGCTGCACAGGCTGTCTTTAACTTGCTGTGATATCATAACAAAATCACTTAAACTCAAAAAGGTAGCCAGGTAGAGGCCCACCAAACATTAGTGCCCAGGGGCCCATCACTTGATGATCCAGGCCTGCTGACTGCTCATCAAGCACTTAAGAAGCCCTACCTTTATTTCAGAAATGGTGATCCTTGTTTCAGGGACTTTGTCCAGCATTCTGGTGATTAGCTCCCTCAGCTCCTCGCTTATAACAGGCCTGCACAAACAATGCAGTCCATTATTAACATGTTTGATTTCTACAAAGGAGTGAAACGCATTAGCCCTGTATATGCACACCTTGGGTTGCTAGTGATTTGTGACCTTTTTCCACCCTTTACCTCATCCATTTTTTATCAGATAAGTGAGAAATACAATATTACTCATATATAACTTATATATACTCATGTCACAATATAACTGTTTAATATAAATATATTTTAGTTCATCAATTTGTTCTTTTTAGCATGTGTTTTAAATGTTTTAACAGTTTTAAACTATCATGGAAGTTTTAAATGTCAGTGTGTTAGATATACGTGCTGGGCCACTAACGACCCAAGGTATGAACCCAAATTATTCAGAAATGACCCCATGTGTGTCCAAACTATTGATTGGAAGTGTATGAAGGCCAAATATATAAAGGACAATAGGGCAGTTGCCTTAACACACTCTGAATCTAAACAGAGCCAGTTAGAAGGCTGTGTAATATCTGCTCTGTAAAAAGGAACAGCATTGAGAGAAAGGATGCACCACTGGTGTGAGGTTGTAATTAGCATGAACTGGGCCATTCACAGTCCATGCTGGAATAGATTAGTGTTAGAGACAGCTTAGGGCTACGTCTAATCCCGTTTATTTGGCATGCTTCATTTTCCGGTTTTGCAATGGTAACTCACATATCTGGAAAGATCACTGGCATATTCCTTATCTTGTCATACAGGGCTAAAATGTAGTCATCCACAAAAGGACACTGAATAAAAATAGAAACATTTATGTTAGCACAGTGGAAACACATTGAACTCATTCACATTTCAATTTGCTACATTGACCACAGGATTTCTTAACTAACAGCAGCAACACTAGCATTTCAGGTGCTGTATGAAAATAACTCACCTTCCCAAAGACAAAACAGAATAAGGTTACTCCCATCGCCCACACGTCTAAAGCCTGAAAGACATGAACCGCAATTTAAGTGTGTGAAGTTTGTGTGTCGTGGAAACAGAACAGAAATATTTTGAGAGAATTGGGAAAAAAAGTAACAGTAGTAATAGTAATAGTAACACCATGCTTTCAATCACCACAGAAGTCAAATTCTAAATGCTTTGTATTCTTGTTGTCTCATGCATTGTACAGCCAAATGCAAAAGATTTTGCGCCCTGATTAAATGATGTTTTGTTGAAAATGTAACACTAACAGTGAAAAATGAAAATATGAATAACTTGTATATATGAATTTGCTGAATTCAAACATAATGGAAAAAAAACAAAAAATGTGGCCTGTGCAAAAGTTATGGCACATTTTAAATTTAATGATTTATGTTTTCCTTGTTCATTTTTTGTCACTTAAAAAAAATAAAAAACATATGCAATTTGACTGGAGTGTAATTTGCACGTGACTGTATATATACAAATTAGTCTCACAAATGTATGAACACATTAAGACATGTTTTATTAAACTGATATATGGGCATATTCAAAATTTATTTTAAGGGCATATGAAAGGATCCTCACCTTTCCGCTGAATCTCTGCTCCTGGTCAGTCAGAGTCTCAGGTGCCATGAAGGCTGGCGTTCCTGCACTGTTTGATAACAGAGCATCGCTCCCCTCAAACTCATTACTGACTCCAAAGTCTGCAATCTTAATATGGCCATCATCTCCGAGCAGCAGGTTTGAAGGCTTTATATCTCTATGTATGATCTTCTGATAGTGCACTTAACAAAGAAAATAATATTGTGAATAATATTGTGCTAAAGGCTAAAAGGTGAGATCTAGCTAATAATGTTAAAACATTCTTATCAGCATTTGTGAGCCAACAGGCTTGCTTTTTCCAAAACCTAGACTGCTGACTGGCTGTTCAATTTTCAGTTCCCACAGACACACTCCCAAAGAATGGAGGTTTTTACAGCCACGAAGGAGCCAACCATGGTTTTCTAATGTGATGTCCAAAAGCTCATAGGGGAGTGATGGTGTAGTGTTCAAATACTCTGTATTTTTGGTCTTACATTTGGTCGTTTTATACGTGTGTGTGTGTGTATAATGCATAGTATACATAGTATTATGTATATATATATATATATATATATATAATATATATATATATATATATATATATACACACACTGGACCATGGAATATCTGGTCATCTTACCCATTTAGAAAACTTACAGTATTCGATGCCCAGGATAACATCTCTGAAGTAGAACCTGGCCTGCTCTTCTGTTAAAGGATTATCTGTGGGTACATCCATCACTGGGCTGATGAAGAGTGGAAAACAAAGAAAACAAAAAATGAAAAATATGCTACATGAACAACAAATTGCTTATGTAAGTTCTACAGTACATTTAAGTAATTTATTTGAAATTAAAGATGGCAGAGACTTTGTGTATTCGGGGAGAAGTCAAATGAGCTTTAGGTTTCTCACTCAACTAATAAACACTTTGTGCACTAAACCTAACACTGAAAATGGAATTAAACAATATAGACTAGGGGAGTCTCGCTCCTGTCCTGAGGGGCTTTAGTCCAGTACAGTTTGGTGACTTCTCTGCTGAAACACACCTGATTCTACTCAGCAGTTAGATAAAAAGGAAATCACCAAACTCTGCTGGATGCCACTGATATAGACAGTCTAGCATCATGTCCAAGCATCATGTTGTTGGGTCATAAATTGATAGTTGTTGAAAAATGAAATAGACTTATTAGCTCTGAGCCACAGCAACACCTGTTCTGGACAAAAACCGCTTTAGTCATAATTAACCTTTAACCAGAGGTCGGTAGACAATACTTGGACTTTTACTCAGGTGCAATTATGAGGAAATGAATCAACTGTTTACTTATTTTACATTTTCGTCATTAACATTTAGCCACTTTTTCCTTTTTAGCATTTAACATAATTGAATCATTAAGATGTAAACAAAGTCATTCAGAGTGGTTTGATGTGAAATGCTCTGTTCTAGAGACATTGTGGAAAGTTATTACATGGGGAATACACTGCATAATGCCGGAGACATTCTTTTTACAATAGTTTTGCAATAAGGTTTTGGCCTTAAACATTTTTATACATATTCAGGTCAAAACAGTCTCCAGAGAAAACTTATTTTCCCTGTTGTTTTTTTTTACAATGATCAGCATTACATATACTGGTCAGATGTGGAGTAAAAGGTAAATAAAACATAAATAAGCTCTTTTGCTAAATAATATGGTTAAATTGTTGAAAATGATTATATGTGCATTGTAATCATTGAACCCTGGTTCCTATCACCACCTCTGTAAAGAAATCTGAATCGGTAAGTTTCTTAACATGAACCATTTCACTCACATCAACGCACTCTGAATGACTTTGTTTATATTTCAGCAACTGAACTACACAGATGGTTTGAAAAATCAGTGGAATTCTCTTTTAAATTCCCAGGCTTATTACATCCTAAGGCTTATTATTAAGTAAATACAAGAAAAGCAATGCAAATTGGCTTTTACATTGGTCACACTGTCTGGACTACTATGTGATTGGTCACATCTCTGACTTTTGTAGTTTATGATTTATTTTCAACAAAGAGTGCACAAAAGATGAAAAGAATGAAAAGAGTGTAATAAATAGCTCTTATGCTAATTGAGGCTGGATGAACTACGACATTCTATTGCAGTTTTATAGGGAACTCAAGTTACTTTTACTAGAGTCATTATTTGACCTCAATAACAATACTTTCACTGGACAATGAGTTTGGACTACGCTACCAACCCCTCCCTATAGCATTGCATCCCAATCCTGGTCTTAGAATAACTTGTTTAATTAGCTGATGAGTTGAGCCAGACTGTAAGCAGGGAAAACACTAAAAAGTGCAGTGCAAGCACAGTGAAGCACTAGCATTGGAGAACACAGCCCTAAAGGAGCAAATACTCACCCTTTTGGCACCAACTCAAAGGCTATGAAAATCACAAAGAAGATACAAGCAAACAAACATGTATAACGAATCACAGGACAGCAAACTGTATAAAATAAATCAGAGGTTTTTATCATTTATGTTCATTTGACTGCTCACCCATGTGCAGGTTGTCTTCATCTGGATCATCAAGAACCTACAAATGGTAATGGTGAGATGTTGCTCTGAACTGCACTAGAGCAAAGCATTTATGAACCAGTACAAAGTAAACCAGGAGCATAATGAATGAGCCTTGTCTCATTCAGAGATCTAACACACCTCCACTAGTTTGACAACATTCAGATGGTCAAGTTTCTTCAAGATGGCAATCTCTTGGTACACTCTGTCCAATGGGCCGAACGGTTTTGGACGGTTGCCCTGTGAGGCAGCACTTTCTTTGGGAGGGGGACGCCCTGTAAAAAAGACACAATATTAGTATTCTTTAACTCAAACAGAATTAATGGAGTAATGCTTCAAAAGCACTATCATGACCTACGTGGAAATCCACATTGCTTCATTAGCTTCCTCTTGGAGACCACCTTCATAGCCTGTAAGGGAATAAGATCAAAAGTTTAGTATATGTAGGGGTTAACAACCATCTAAGATTAAAAAAAAATCTTTTTACAAAACCCTATATACTGTATTTACTTACATAGTACTGATCATCATCTTCATTATAGGCCAGTTTAACCACACCATATGAGCCCTGAGCAATGACGCATGGCAAAGTCATTTGTTTCATTTTACAACATGCAAAATATGCAACAAGCATATATATATAATATATATATATATATATATATATATATATATATATATATATATATATATATAGACTTTTCAGCACCTGAAAGGCATATGGAGTAACTTACTTGGTTAACAATAATTGGCAGCTACTCTTTTTTGCATGATGCTGAAAGCCAATTGGTGGATTTACAGCAACATTAGAGTTTTTGACTTGGGTACAGTACAATGCAAAGGTCAGAGACCACCCTTCAATTATTTAATTTCTAGTCAAAAGGGTCATTAAGTACACTCCTAAACAGATGGTTCTTCAAGGGTGCTTGAGCACAGGAAATAGTTCTATTTTGAACTATTCTTCAGATTGATGAAGAATGTGCGGTGGTTCTGTACAGAACCTTTTTTCAAAGGGTTCTATGTAGCACCAAAAAGTGTTCTGCTATTATTACAATATCAAGCTTGGAACAGTAGAAGAACCTTTTCTTTTGCGATTATTCCTTTTCAAGAATGTTTTGTCTGGACTGAAAAATAGTAAAAGATGCAGAGCGGCTGATTTAAATAATGCTGTGCTCATTAAAAGTCCTTGTACAATTCATTTCAAACATGATCATAAACCCCTAAAAGAGTAGCCACTAAATAATTAATGTATAACCTACCTTTCCAATCTCATTCTTTAATTTGTACTGGTTAAGCTGCACACAGTCCTACAAACAGAAAGAAAGGGTTGTGACTGTATTAACTGAATTTAAATACTATGCAGAAAGCAATAAAGGGCCCGTATCTTAGATTTCTCTTGTATTTTATTATTTTCCCTGATGTCCAGTTAGGACTTTTGAGTGGTTTCATGTACCAAAAACATCAAAAAAGGCATTCTCTATCATTATTTTCCAACCTCTCTCTATTCTCTAGAATTTAACAGGCTGTTTCTGTTACTATGTCTTCAAGACTGATGTATGTAAATGAGCTATATTCTGATTGGCTGTCCTGTATTATGCCTCATTCAAAAAGCAGTCTGAATTGAAATACTCTTTATTACATCAACATGAATGGGCAGTGCTAAACTAATGTGATGTGTTGGCTTTTGTGACATTATGACAACAATGAATTGTTGAAAAATGAGTTGTTATTCTAACTAATTCTCCATATCTGGACTGTGTAGACTCCAGAGTGATCAGGTCACTTTAACAATATTTACATACTACATCAAACTATTTCATTAAAAAAAGGAGGAAAATTTGGTTTTCCATGATATGGGCCCTTTAATTAGTCATGCAGACTATTGAAATGTGTGCTATACTACTATACTATACACTATACTACAAACACAGAGAGACAACCGTGGCCACCTATTTTGAAGGGGAATTCCACTGTTTTATCAAAATTTGTGCATAATTAAGTCGATAAGTTGTAAGTCATTCAGAGTGGTTTGATGTGAAATGCTTAGTTCTAGACAACCTTTCCAAGTCAGAATTGTTCTGACTGATGGTGATAGAAACCAGCAGTCTGAAGAGTTTAACCCTCCTGTTATCCTCAGGGTTAGGTTAGGGCCCAAAAGCAGAGGAACGTTTTTGAAGATTGTACAATTGCATGCTACAGTGACCTCAATATCATCCAAAAGCTCCAAAACAAATGTGTAAATGTTGATATTTATTACGTTTTATACAGCTAAAACAGCTTAAGGTCAATCATTTATTTAGAGACGTTAAACACTGAATGGGGTCAAATTGACCCCAAAGATAACACTGAAACACTGTCTGATGATAGTTTTGAGATAAGATTTGGCCTTCAATGACATTTTTTAAAGTACAATAATGGTGGAAGGGTACATGCAGGGTGTTGTAAGGCAAAATAATTCCCAAAGAAAACATGTTTTCAAATTTACCACTATTATACCATTATCAACATTATACATATAACTCAGTAGTCAGTAGTCAGATTCATGTAGGTCCACAGGTGGTTTCAGATCGTAAATAAAATGGCTATATTTGTGTTGCAGACTTTAACTCCTGGTTCCTATCACTACCACTCTCTACAATGAACCATCTCACATCAAACCACTCTGAATGACTTCTTAATGACTCATTTATGCAAAAATTACCCAGTACCCAAATAAAGGTTTTTACAAGATTCTTGGCTGGAAGTGCACAGTTTAATTGGCAAAAAACCTTTACATTATGTAGAGGTCATTTACACTTTAAAATAGTTCTTAACACTCTCACATCTTACTTTCAAAAATTATTCTTTAAAGAACCAACCGTTAGTGAACGATGTGTACCATTTGCATGATTTGCACAGTGCAGAGATTAATTAGTAACAAACAACATAAATACCATCATTAATGCTATAGAGTCTAACGAAAAAGCACCAAAGAGTGTTCTTTGGAGTGCAACTGTAGAAGAACCACTTTTGGTTCCCTGTAGAATCTATGAATGGATGGCTCTTTAAAGAACTGTTGTTCTAAATGAGATAGGGGTGTGAAGAACCTTTTTAAAACATTCAGCTCTATACTAATTAAAGATTGTACCAGGCCAGGAACCATCTAACAACCTTTATTCGGTGTAAAAGACTCCCAGCTTCAGCATCACTCACCTCACCATCTGAGATGGACACCCGTTTGGACTCGATGGTCGGCCTTCTGGCTATCCTGGGAGTCGTCCCGTTCTGGTAACTCCCGCGCTCTTGCAAAGAGAACTTGCGGTCGGACAGCAGTAGGCGGTGAGGGGGGCTCCTGTGGCCATTGGGTGGGGTCACCCTACTGGCTGCTACATCAATGGCAGCCACCATATCGGCCAGTTCAGCATACTCAGAGTCCAGCTCCTGTGGCCTGCAGGCTGTCTCTGTGCTCATGACTGTCTTGTTTCAGGCAGATCTGCTTGAAACGTTGAAGCAAATGTCACAGTGGACATCCCAGTGGTCCAATCTCTTCAGAGGAAGAAGAACAAAGCTCCATGGTGCTGCGCAGTCAAAGCAGAACGGTTTAAAGGCCTTGACTGTGTTGATGCTGACTGATGCCAGACCAAGCATAACTGTGCGTCATAGGACTGAACTGATGTCTGCTGTTAAGTGCTTAATCACATGTGTTGTCTCATGCAAACACCAAAGGTCTCCCAAGTAAACAGCTATTATGTAACTTTGAGTCCTCTAGCTAGTGAGTCCTGGACAATAGCCCATGATGCCTCACATCACCGCTTTGTCATGAGTCTTGGACGATAGCCCATGTTGGGTTTAAAGCAGTTCACATGCTAGTCAATGAACAAACATAATAAACATAGGTCTACTGTATAATTCCTGAAAGCAAGCCAAGAGGAAAGGTGCAATATGTATGTTTGGTGGGAAAATAATAAACACCAGTGAAATAACAAAATAAAGTCAAGAGATCCTAAAAGACATCAAAAAAGAAGATATTCTGGAGTAATCTACTTAATGGACAGTAAAGAACAACATTCTGATAAACACCACCCCTAAACATTACATCTACGTAAGCAATAAATGACATTATTGTAATATGCCTATTGCTGTTATGGTACTGTTTACTTACATACAGCAGTGGCAGCCTACATCTCCAGTTGCTGTGAGCATGTCTCATGGTCTGTCCACCTGCTCAGCAGTTAGAAACACCTCTGCGTCTGAAAGGAGCCCTGGGGATCCAGTCTATACCAGATCACCGTGACAAAGAGGATTAGTCAGTCCCTACAGCCACATATAGTCCATGGTGGCTAAATCTGTATGAAAGGGCTGGGTACACCAGCACGTCTCAGTGAAAGTACACAAGCTGCAGTCAAGTCAAAAGTCAGGATCTGAACAGTGGTATTCACACATGTTTATGGCTTAGTTTAAAGTTATGTTAAGAGAGTTGTACTTGCCAAATGAGAATCGTACTTCAACACGACCCCTTTGTTGGGGGTTAGAATAACAGCCTCTTAACTCTGTCCATCCAGGACAGCAGCTCAAGCATTACATAACATCCTTATGGACATCCTGTACTGATCAATATCTTGCACCCCAATTACTCAGGCCAAGGATGATCACAACAGACGTACACTGCAGAGTACTTAGAGCTGTAAAACCACTAAAATAGTCTTAAGATCTGATTTGTCACTTACCATTCATTAACTACATATGAAGAGAGTATTGATGTAAATCATCTGTGTTATTTGTCATATGACACAGTTAGTTTAGTATATAAGCCCAGGCTTTAGCTTAGTAAAGTTGCGAGGTATTGTATCCACTATTGTGATCTACTGAGCGTTTTTCTATTGTTGTGTATTCCGTGTATGATTTTTGCCTTTCGTTTTCCTCAACTGTGCCCTTTTGGAATTGTTTGCATTGATTCTGATCTTGGATTTTGACCAATTGCCTGCACCTTCGACCACGCTTCTGCCTTTCCCTTTTTGGATTTGATGCATTGTCTGATGTATGTCTGTGTGTATTTCTTGTGCCTTCTGGATCTGTACACTGTCTGGTTTTTGATGACGACTTTGAACTTTGTTCCTATCAGTAAAGCCCTTTCTGTAAGTTACATCTGCGAGCGTCTGACTCTGCTGGAAACCTTACTATATACATATAAAATGACTTAATATTTTATACACACACACACACACACACACACACACATATATATATATATATATATATATATATCAGTCTACTCAGATTTTAGCAGAGCTCAGTAACACTGAGATTAATAACTGATCATCACATTGATTTATCAGTCTACTCAGGCTTTAGGAGGTACTTCAGTGTTTGTAAAGAGCTGTTTATTAAGAGTTTGTCTAACAAGCATGTCTGTGTTCTAAAACACTTATCTCCTATGAATGTAAAGAGAGACTGTATTCTGAACACTGACTTTACAAAATGTAACTTGGACAGAGTACAGATACTCAATTTCTATATTCTGAAGACGTATTCCCAATACTTGTTTTATGTTAAAGGCTATAAAGGCTTCTACATCCAGATATAGCATTAAAGCTAGACAGGGCATTAAATGTCTAAGACACCCATTTTTAATTCAGCCATAGGCTGCCCGTCTCCCTGCTTTACATTTATACATTTGGCAGACACTCTTAATCAGAGCGACTTAATAATTTGATTACAGAAGTAGGTTAATGTAGTGTTAGGGGTCTTGTCCAAAGACTCTTATTGGTATAGTGAGAGATTGAGCCATAGACTAACTTAAGAACTGAACGGGGCAGGCTGTGGTCTGCATACAAAGTACTTATGGACAATATGGAGCCACTCTAATCAAAGCTGTCCGGCGCTGTCCGGCGCTGTCCGCGGTGCTGAAGTTCTTATCTAGCTTCGCCTATTTTTAATAAGGCGGCTGGACTTGGTACCTTTTATTACAAGTCCAGTCACCATGACTTCCAGCAGAGCGAAGGCCTGAACTCACACCCTAGTAAATGTGCTAGTAGTCCTGTGAAATAAGGACTGAAGTAAAAGAAGGTTAGAGCGGTCATAAAGCTGCACAGACGCTCTCACCAACCTCACACAGTGAACTGAGTGAATGTAACTAATCACCACTGCGAGACATGTTAAGGTAAACAACCCGGAGGAAACTTCCACAAACTCGTGTCTTAATGAACATACGGGGTATCCAGGGTTTGCCTCGTGTGAATAACGTGACGAAAATGGCGGTTTGTTCGTCTGCCAAACACAAGCCCCGCCCCCAACACTGCTCACACTCACAGACCCTCAGTGTTCACTCAGTTCAGTCTTCAGCGCTGAGTGGCAGCGTAACTCTGACAAACACTCAACAACAAGACTGAAATGCCTCACAGCTGGGACTCTGACACTCACCTGGACCACCTCAGGCGTTTAGACATCGTCCAGTTGAGGGACCTGCTGGAAGATGAGGAGACTTTACTGCGCGCCGTCAGGAGCAGCAGAAAGGTATTAGTATCCATTTTGTGTACAGCAGGTCTGTTTAATACGTTATATAGAGATATATGGTGTGTACGACGGCGTTTTAGGGCCACTGTTAATAAAAGTAGTAGACTTCGAGAGTGAAGTCGTAATGTTTCGAGAATAAAGTCGTAGAATTACGACATTACTACCAGGAAAGGTCGCAATATTGTGGCCTAAGGCTTTGCGTAATATTTTTTTAATATTTGAAAAAATATTACGCATATTTGTCACGTAATATTTTTTTCTCGAAATACTACGACTTTTTTTCTCGAAGTCTACTATTTTTATTTTTATTTACAGCGGCCCTAAAACGCCGTCGTAGGTTTATATCTATATACAATCTATGTATATACAAAACTTCTATATAGAACCTTTTTGAAAATGGCTCTGTATAGTACCAAAAAGAGTTCTTCTGTTGTCACAAACTTAGCAGAACCCTTTTTGGTGCTATACAGAACTGTGTATAACACTTTCTCCATCAGTCTGAAGAACTATTTCACCAGGCAAAAAACCATTTAAGAATGAAATGGTTCTATAAAGAACTCATGGTTCTAAATAGAACCATTGCATTTACCAAAGAACCATTTAAGAACCATTTTTTTAAACGTGTACACGTGTTGGTTTCAGTCTATGGGAGTTAATACTGACAATTAAGCCTTTTGAAAGTTTTTTATTGATTGAATTTTTGACGATGTTGGAAAAGCATCCCAAGTGGCTTCTCTAGAGGCTGAACGAAAAGCTGCATTAAGGCACATGAGGGGCTAGTATGAAGGATCTGCATCCTAAAAAAAAGGGGGAGGTTCAGGGGAACTTAAGGCAGTAGTTATATGCAGAACACTCAAAGAACCATCTGAATATGTAAATGGTTCTTCTCTGTAATGGAAAACCTGTTGTATATGCCAGTTAAATAACCTTATAAAAGTATAGCACCCAGGAAGGGTTCAACTATTGTTAGTTATAGAGCCCTTTTAGCCAAAAGTGTATTTAGTACCATTCACCACCATCAAGTCCATGTCTTGAAACTGAACTTTCACCTGCAAACTGCCTTTGGTTGAAATGGTAAACATTTGCTAACCACACTTGTCAAATTTTATTTATACTTCATTTTCAAAAACAGTTCCAGGATCTTCAGAAGCAGAGTGAGGTTAAATGGGCCTCCAACCGTAGGCTGGCAGAACAAAATTTATCCTACCAGCCGTACCTCAAAAACAACAAAACGCTATTAGCAGAAAAGTATCAGCTTCTTGGCCAAGTCGTATCCTCATTAAGGCGCAAACAGAGGAAGCTGGGTGAGTATTCAAACTGCTTCCACCATTTAATTCCTCCATTCAGTCTTCCAGCACTACTTATTCAGTCTTTTTATTGTCTGGATTTACAGACGCTTTGCACGGACAACTGAGGCTCAAGGCCACCCGGCAGTTTCTAAAGCAGAAGGTTGCTCATTTCATGAATGAATCTGAGGTAATGTATTCATGATGAAATTTAAATGTGGAGAAAAAAGAGAAAAGTTAGGCCAAAATGTTTGTTTCTAACATTTCTCAGAGTCTTTGGCAAAAGTTCTTAGAGGGCAACGTGCTGCCAATGGATTTTGTGGAATCGTTTCAAAGCATTCGGAAGTTCTACTACAGACACCTGGTTCAGGTGGAGAAGATGCAGGACCTCAGCACACGTGAACAACAGGGAACAGAAATACTTTCCAAATACTTTCACTCAGCAAATGCAGTGAGCGTGTTCTACAGCCTCTCTCCTGCTGTCATGCTACCCAGCACCTTTCTCCCTTTAATGGGACGGTCATACCTGCCCCCTCTTAACCACCACGGTGCATTGTGGACATCTTTTATACCTCTAACTAATTCTGGTCAATCACAAGAAGATATGGCAGTTTGGTCACGGAGACTGGAGCATTTACAACAGCACAAGGAAACTAAAAACCGTGGACCAAAACCTTCACCATGAACACTCCAGAGTTCAGTCTTATAAGTTGGTTAAATGTTCTGCTTCTCATGAATAAAGTAACCAATTAAATGATGTGGAGGGCTTCTTGGCAGCTGCACATGCTTAAGTACTGTTTATTTGACGGGGCAGTTTTGTGGTCTACCAGATCTTGCATGGTTGTTAGAAGTCCCATTTTCTCTGTATCTTTTAATATATATATTTTTTTAAAACTCCAGGTTTGGAAACCCATTTTTTCACTTGTTTTCCTTTGACTTTGCTCTTTCTTATGTGAGCAGATTCTTTTGCATTTTACTTTATTACTTTATTTACATTATTTTTGCATTTATTTTACATACCTTGTCAGAAACATCAACTGAAAAACAAAGTATTTGTACTCAGTGGCCATTTTGACTGGAAATTAAATGAAAGGTCGTGTGTAATACTGTTCAAAAACCTGGAATCACTTGTTGTAGTTTATTAAAAGAACATAGACTGAAATTAAAAAAAAAACCAAAAAACTAGGTGCTTAGTACAAATGACATGGCAATTATCTGTTTACAGTAATTCATTGATAACTTGTCTGCCTTGAGATTTGATCATCACTTTTCAAATACGGATTTGATAAAAATGTGGATTCTGGGTGTTAACCTATTCATGCTTCAGTTTTGTAAAACTTTCTTTGGTCCATGTATTCTCTGCGCTTGCCTGAGCACAAATCTGAAGACATTTTTCAAATCGATTCAACCAAACCACATTAAAAAGTGAGTTTTTATCACTTGTTGTACTAAATTTTATCTTTGCTACACTATTGATTACTAAGACTACTGCATTACCATATGCCGCCACTATCAAGTCATATCTATTATTAATGGATGATTACATCATTAATAAGTTACTCATTTTCATCAAGCAGATTCCCTCCTTAATAGACATTCGTCCTGTGCAGATAAACGAGCCTGTGAGTGAACTCACCTGATCCAGATGAAGGTCAGCCAGGGGTCCAGCTCCTTGATCAAACTCATCACTCTCATTAGAGCAGATAAAGCGATGGAGAGAAGGGGGGGGGCAGGGGCTTTTGTTTGCCTGTTCGCTTGTTTGTCCTTGGATAAGCCTTCTATTACATCACTGTCAGTGGCTGTCATTGTTCTCTGCAACTCAAATTGGCCAATTTTCTCATCTGTCAGCCAAATGCTTAGTGCCACTGGGCTCCTCAATCATACAGCTATCTGCTGCAGGCTGGCAAACTGAGAACAGAGCTAAAACGCATCAATAATACAACTTTGAGCGCAACCAAGTTGTATAGTTAAATCATTCCACTACAAGCTCCTACAAATACAAATTTCTTTATTTAGAAAAATAAAATTAATACATTCATACAGCAAATAAACAGCCTTTCTTATTCATCACATTATCCAGCTACTATCTCTGAGCTTTGGACATTATTAAATCAAATAAATAAAAAAAAAATCACCAAATAAATATTCAGAAATATACTACACACAAAACAAACATAAAAAAGCAAAAACAGTCTATAAAACTGCTAACTTTCCTCTGTAAAATGTGAAGCGAATATTTTCGCTATTCTTTTGGTTTCTTCTCTCTTCGCCGATGATGGAGGGATGTTGGGCCTTGGCCGAGTCACTCTATGATATGGAACATCAGACTTCACATTCTCCTAAAACAAGTTGTTTTAAACCACAAGGGGAAGCATAACATCTTTTACACACAAACACACTTCAAGGCTTCTACAGACTGGATTCAGAATACTGTATTAAAGTATGAAAACAGTTGATCAAATGTCTGCCATCATAAGGAGATTTTCACAGCAGTTAAATGAAGAGGAAACCAGTGGCTGCTATACTTACTGGATCAGAGGAAGCTGAAGGGAAGACAGGAGCTAAACGCAAAGCTCTCATAGAAGCCTCCAAGTGGTGAGATGGAAGGAAGAAGTTTGGAATCTCTACAGATTCAGAGCTTGAAATAAACAGGTTAAGGTACAAAGCGAAGCTAAATGATGATATGCAGATGAAACGCAACAAAGAAATAAGAAGAGCATTAGAGAATCATAAATACACTGAGCTGAAAGCTTCTAAGCTACATTCTACAGCTACACAGACACCTGAACTCATTGGTCATTTTTTCAGATACACCTACCATTTACATGCACTTTGTAGGTTTACCATTACAAACTGTAGCCCATCTGTACAATTTAATCAGCCCCCCTCTACTGCATCTATCAATGGAAAGGGAAAACTACTGGAAGACCACTGACCTCAAATTACTTTGTGGCAGAGCACTCTCAGCACAGCAGTGACACCGACATGGTAACTGTATGTTAGAAGGTGTTGGTATGATGTTGGTAGGTGCTGGTATGAGTGAATCAGAGTATATTCCTCACATTATTCATCATCTTTATGGTAGATCAGGGGTGTTCAATCTGGTCGTGGAGTTTCACCACCCTGGAGAGCTCACATCTGGCATGACTATTCAGATGCATCTGGAGGTTTTCAGTTCCTTTATAAGCTGTCTGAATCACTTGCCAATTTTTCTTATTTTATATATGATAACTTCTCTAAAGTGGATTTAAATGTTACAAACTATTCATCAAAAGGTATTTTTGAAACAAGGCATTCTGAATATTACTTTTTATTCTAACTTGTTATACAGCTTTCTCAGTCATTTCAGAAAATACACATCCATTCATGATTCTGATTTATTTTATTGCTACAGTGTTCTACTAATTATTTGTAGAACACAAATAGTTAATGAAGCTGTAGTGGACCAACATATTAGGATCATTTTCATACACTTGTCTGCAGCCATATTGGTTTTATATTACTGAAAACACTGAATGTATGAACAGCAATTCCAAAAAATGTAAACAACTTAATAATAAAATTATTAAGAAGTAATATACAAAAAACACAAAACAGGTAAAATACATCTATGTAGTGTTCTAATAAAAATTATCTATAAAACTGTCAACTGTTCCTTAAATTAATTTGATGGAAAAACTCTTCTTACCGATAGCAACTGACCTATATTTTAGATGTACCTGATAAAAAGTCAATAAAAATGCAGCTACAAGGCTCTTTAAATGTTCCAGGAAGGATACAGTTTTGTTTTCACTTCATCACCTTCACCACCGTTTGCCTTTGTGTTAAATCCCTTGCTGGAAGCTTGTGGTGAGTCCTCTTCAGAGTCAGACGTGTCATGCTGATCATGACCTGCTATCTGCCTGGTGTCCTGAATGGAATCCTCATGCAGACCATCAGCAAAAGTCTCCTGTTCATCGCTGTGCTCTTCACAAACACTCTGTACATCTCTAGCTGCCTCTGCATCCTCACCTGATTCAAAATCATCAGAAAACTCTGAGTCATCAGCAGACTGAGCAGTAAAAGGCTGTGAGGGAGCAGATGGAAGAGAAACTGCACTGTCTCTCTTCTTTGAAATGCTGGTACAGTTCCAGAGCGGCTGCTCCACCACCTCCAGACTCTCCAAAGAGCTGAGATCAGGATCGGACAGCACACTAGTCCAGGGGCTGGTCCTGTCCGTGACTGAGGTGACCTCGTTCAGCGGTCGAGGTTCTACCAATGTCTCCTCAAACTGCTCTTCTTCCTCTTCCTCTACTGCTTCACTCTTGTGTTTATGCCCATCCTCATCATCACTTGACCTGTTGCCCTGGTGGTAGGGACAGGACAGCACGAAAATTTTACAAAAATCATGACTTCAGTGACCAAAATGATCATGCATTTCAATATTTTCCTGGTATTGTGAAAAGTAGGGCTGTTCTGAACAGCACTTTTTTAGACTTCGAATACTCTTCAATACTCATTCTTAACATCACACCTAAATACAGTAATATTTGTCTAACGGAACAGAAATGCTTTCATTTTTCAGTGTTTCAGTCTGCACCAGCTGCTCTAGATCCAGGTCATATTGTCTATCAAAACGCAAGCTTATTTTTTCACTTGTGCGTTTGGAGTGTGCGAACTCCATAAAGACCCAGTCAAACCACACAGCAGTTCCTAAGTTGTACTAACAACATGTGGAAGAGACTCTTCTCTGATACATCAGTAAAAAGTGGCGCAAGTGAAGTAAAAACCTTTATGCCACTTTTGTGATGTCGCATTCTGCGTAGAAATCAAAAATAATCAAAAACATTTAGTTCATTTACATGGTCAGCAACTAAGTGAAAGTAGTGTGCAATTTTCAAGCCATTAACAAAAGTCAAACAATCAAAGCAAAGGCAAGTCACTGGTGTTCGAGTGAAAGCAAAAGTGTTCTGTGGCCTTTGTAGCTCTTAGCCACTGGGTGACTGTCATGCTTAGCTTTCCTGAGGTCTCTCCTGGTTCTGATTTTTCCTTTCTTTCTTTCAGCAGCACATATCAGTGAGCCCCTCTAAAATATAAATGGGTGGAATGTGTTTATTTGACAGACTGAAATAGAAAACTGACACATCATCATTTTTTTAAATACTGAGACATATTACTGTTACACCAAGCAACCCTAGGCCAGGAGCATGCTTCTGCACTGAGAATGTAGCGGTATGCTATTTATTTCCACCATGAATTAAAAAAAATGATGATGGTAAACAAAGGCAGTCAAGATTTTTAGAGATGGCACTGATCCAATATTAGCAGAAAATGCCAAAAGTGTCAGATATCGGAGGGAAAAAAAAGAACAAAACCTGTAACAAACCTATCCTGAAATATCACAGTCACACTGTGTGATGTGATGTTGCTAGCTGTGTATTTCTGCGTGTGGGAAGTGCAGTAGAGTGTTTGAATAGTTCGAGCATGCGAAGGGAAATGCTTTCATTAAAACAGCTAACTTGTAAGCTCAGAAATACCGTATCGGTATCGGATGGTACTCAAAGTTTCAGTATCGGTATCAGCAAAGAACAAGTGGTATCATGGCATCTCTCACGATTATCATTGGATTTTAGTGTGCAGTATACCATTAACAGTGACTGTGCCCTGTGTACCTGGTGCACCTCCTCAGCCTCAGGGATGGGGGAATGGCTTGTTTCTTCTGAAGTAGGAGTGGTGAGGGGTGAGATGCCTTCCGTTCTGCTCTCTGGCTCTTTCGGAGAGCAGATCTCCGTGTCACAGCTTTCCGACTCCGCAAGTGTTAAACGATCCACAGCAGAGAAAACATAACCGTCCTTTTCAGCAGGTGTGGATGGGCTCTGCTGAGGGTTTGAAGATGCTGCTTCAGTCTGATGTTCCCTTAGACCTAAAAAAAAAGTGTGAATCATATCAATGATCCATAAAAAGCTTAATGTGTTACTGTGATTAAATCCAGGAAATCCAGTGGCAAGCATACCTCTAATAATGTTGTTGACTTCTCCCACCAGTTGGTTGGACTTGAGCAGTAGATGAGCAGTGCCTGTTTCAGAGTCCCTGTGCTCCTCCTGCCTGGAGCCTCGGCCCTGCTCGCCCAGCCCTGAAAACACTGGCGTGGACAACTTGCGACTGAAGTACTTTTGGATATCATCCAGTTCACTGAGGTTTTTCCTTAAAGAGTAGAACACATGATTTACAAAGTCAGATTCAAATAACATCCCTTTGTAAAACTTCAGTCTTGATTTACCAGGTACAACTTCAAGGAATACTTTAATTTTTTAAATCAAATTTACACTATTCCTCCTTCCCTTTACCCCCAAAGGTAAATCAGCCTGCAGTCCAACATAATCTTCTGTTATCTGTTAACCATGACAACTTCAGTTTAGACTGAATTATGGGAAATAGCTTTTACAGAATAATAGTTTGTAAGTTCTTAATTATATCCTTACTCTAATAAGAAAAAATTAAACAGGCACCATAACTAGACCAATTTCCTAAACACTGTTCAAATTCAGCATTATGACAGCACATTTATTTATAATGCAAAACGGCAGTGTGAGAGTGATGTGTCCCTAACTCTGTTCTAACTTTCAGTTCATCGCACTTTAGTTTTTTTATTTTTACACTAATAGCTGTCTTCCTAAGTAACACTAATTTTTATTATTATTTTGATTGCATTTTTAGGTTTCAGCTCAGTGCATATCACTGTTTGCTTCGTAACAATCAATTATCGACCTTGATTGAGTAGTTAAGGATTTCCTAAATTGAGATTCAATAGGATGCTGTAAGATATGATATAATTCCTTAATCGATTTGCTTCCTTAATATAAATTTGTGAAAAGTCTTCTCTTGACTTTGTGAGGTCCTAACTTATTAAAGACAGGGAGTTTCTGTAATCTGGCCCCAGCTGTCTGTAGTTTGCTTCTTCAGTTCAGTTAAAAATGGGCAAAAGTACATTAGCTAAAAACAGCAGTAGCAGCAACTGAAAAGACTGATTCTTCCATACTTTCGTTCATTTTTATAGATAACAATATGTTATACAATTTCAGAAGCCACTTAAGCACGTCTATTTGAGATTATTTAACTTGACACTGAGTCAAGTGGGTGTTTGAACTATGCTAATTGGTGGGGTATCAGCTTCATTACTTGTAAGGTATGTTATGCCTCATAACTCCAGTGCAAAACTAAAGAAGCAAACTTCAGACCCAAGTATGAATTAAGTATTTGATCAGGCAAGTATGTCTTATTTCTTTAAAACCTAATGCAACAATTCACCACAATTCAAAATAAGTTTTTTCCAGCAGAACCTGAGTTGCACTTATCTTCTCAACAGCAGGAATCAGTACCTGAGGGCTGAGAAGAGGGCGGAGCTGGACGGGTGGGTGTCTCCAGCACAGGACGGCAGTGGGGCGCTCTCGGCCTCCTGCAGGGCGTGATGGAACCGGCGAATGTTGTCCATGTGCTCATCATGACGATCAGTCACACTAGACCTCACAAAACAATGACAGATTATAGAGATAGTTCAATTAACCAGAACTAACACAACTAAGAGTGAATGAATGCTGGTGCTGCTAGTTAACGAGCATTTATTTGTCAATCATATTAAAACTGTTGGGCTACACCAGTGTTTTCCAAGCTCTGAAAATTTCAATGTTTTTCTTACTCACCCTCCTCAGCTCACTACTACTTGACAAAATCAAAGCCAGTTCAGCTAAACAGTGGTGATGTAACTAACATCTTCTTATTCATCGTCATCCATAATAGCACTGTTTAATGAAACTCTCTCTTTAAAACAGCAACAGATTACATGACACACTGAGACTGCGTCACAAACAGTGAAGCCATCCTTCTTCATTGTAGTTACCTGGCAGAGAACAGTCTGTCCAGGTGTTCCGGAGGAGTGCTGATCCTCTGCTCAGAAAACCGACTGATGTGGCTTGGGAAGTTGCTGTACACAGCTGTGGTTTGATAACACAGTGGCAAGGCACTAAACAGAGACTGCAATAGAAACATAACCCATCACCATCAGTAGCAGCACAAAAAACACTTGAGCTCTATGTACTTTTTGTTTCACTAATAATCTTCTCTTCAACGGCATGTAGGAACAGGAATGTTACATCTATATGTGCTTGCTGAACATCTTACTCCATATTAATGCGCATTACTATGGAGTAAGTCCCCTATTAGATTTTGGAACACAGCTGACGATGCATTTGCTGTTCCAACTCAAAAGGTGTTAGATGGGGATGAAGTTAGGACTGTGCAGTCCAGTAAAGATCTTCTTAGCAAACAATTTCTTAATAGACCCTACAGTGTGTTTTGACATGCTCAACAGGAAACGGGCCTTGCTTAAAGCATTGTTCAAAAGCATGCAGTTCTACAGAATGTCACTGCATGCTGCAGCATTATGTTTTTCCATCATTGGAAGTGAAGTGTCTCCTACAAGGAGGGTGGCATAAAAGCATTGTAAGTTATATAAAAGCATTTATGTTGCTTTTTTGCCATCTTGTCCCAAGTTATTTTAAAACAGAAAATAATCAAAATGTTTAGCTCACTGTCACCAAATAAGTGAACACAGTGCACAATTTTCAAGCAATCATTCAATAAATGATAAAACATCCATCAATTAAACCTGTTCCATGGTGTTTGCATCTGTAGCCTGATCTGCTGACTGAACATTAACAGTTAACTTAAGTACAGGTTTGATTCTGACTAATTGATGCTCTGCTAAAACAAGTTTAGATCATAAAAACTAATTAGTATATCATTATTCCTCCTCCACCAAACTTCACAGCTGGCACTATGTTTTTGAGCAGGTAGAGATGTCCACACATCTATCCAACCCAGAGTCATCCATCAGACTGCCAGGTGTTGGAGCACGATTCAATCACAAGGTGTTTTCAGAGTGCACACCACTCCAGCCAAGGCTTCACACTGTGCAAGGCTGTATGTACCTGTTAACAATGTATGTGGCTGGAATAGCAGAGCGCACAAATTAGAAGGGCTGTCCATATACTTTTGGCCACGTAATAAACTTCCATTACATGTCAGCTACATTAAGCAAAACTAAAGTAGCAAACTTTGGATGCCAAACATGTCTTGGCTCGTCCTCTACATTTGGGATATTGCGATAATTTGGGAAATTTGCTTTTTGACGTACGCTTGAGTCAGTGGTAGTGTTTTCACAGAGAGCCTGTCTCTGAGCCCGGAGCTCGTGCACACCCATCAGAGGAGACACCGACACTTTGAGCTGCCCCTGACACTGTCCACTGAAGTCTGTGATGTTGTACCAGCCACTCACGGACTGAAAGCCAGAGAGAAGCGGGGACAGGTCTACTGAAGCGAAGCCTATTACTCGCTCCATGTCTGTTAAACAGAAAAACAAAGAGAGAGCAACTAATTGTAAAAGGTGAAATTGTCAGTGAGCTCATTACTGAATGCTGACAGCACAGTGCATAAAAGAATTGAACTGTGAGTCTCTGAGCAGAGACTGTACCTCCTTTGTGCCAGACTTTGAATACCAGTGACTGCTGCGGATCCACAAGTAGCTCCTTTGAAAGCCTGCAGCAAACAGAAAGTTATTATTGGTAGTACAATGTGTAGATGGTTGAAAGTGTGAGTGTAAGACTAAAGGGGCCTACCTGCATTCCTGCTGGTGGTCCCACACAGGGCAGTCGCTGTCCTGCACCACATCTGTGCTCACTGTACCAGAGGCATCAGCTGTGGCATAAGAGACACAGCAGCTGGGGAGACCACCACTACGTTCAGCTAGAGGACATCCTGTAGATGAAATAAAAAACAACAACAAAAACACTTAAAGAGCAATGCCACCAACTTTTCACATCCCTTCTTTATCTGATCTCCTTCAGGTGATGCGCTAACAGCTGCTGGTGTTATATTTTTTTCTACTAGTGCACAGGGATGTAACCACAAGGCATTTTAGAGGCAGCCATTCCATTTTGAAGTAAGATTACAGAAAAAACTAATTTTATGATATGATTAATCATGCTTAATATGACCATAAATAAAGGTCAATTTCAAGTTGACTTTACATATCATAAAGCACTAGGTTACAATTACGTGACATTCTTATTTAATTTCACTGGCGTTTCTCTTTAAAACCTCAAAATGTTATACAAAGCCTTACTGGGGGCTCTTGAACAGTGCAGCACTTACTAGATCACATTTTAACAATGTAAAGAGTCAAAGAAAGTAGAAGCAGCCCCATTTGTGGGAGGGATGGCCAGGGGTAGAAAGATATAAAAGTTTGCACTGGCCACCCAATAAATCTTAAGGCAAAAATTAACAATTTGTGGCCAGAATTAAAGTGTTTATTTTATATATGTTGTATAAAATAAACACTTTATCTCAATATTATACTCTTTTTACACAGATTCTTCACGCTGAATTTTCTTATTTGTGTAGTCATCATTGTGATCTGATTCTTTTTCTTCATCTTTCAATAACCCAGCCATCACAACAGGAAGAAATGCTTGAAAGAAGTTGTCATTTGCCGTCACATTATCTATAATGTTACCGTTACACTTGGCAAATTCTGAAAACATCTAATTTGATGCAATTACTTCTGTGTCCAGCCAACAGCTGTTTTGTTATTGATGGTGGATATTATTATTTGTCTGCATTTTGGCCATCCCGTCCACAGGAAAATGGCATTTCTGTCACTGTTCCTGTAGCTGTTTCCATCTATTAATAATGTAAAATTCTCTCTGAAATATGACAGAAGACTGGGTTGTTTCTGTGTGCTCAGCAATTTGTGGGTGAATAATAAGTTATAATCATATTTATAACTGAATTTAGCTTTACTTTTCATTAAACTGCAGCGTGGTAGAGAAGATACTGCACTCCGTTCTTATAAAGGGGGTGTCACCTTGATCAGTTATGCCACTTGATCAGTCGGGGGATCTTACCTTTCAAGCTGAGGTGCATGGCTCTCTCCACACTGACAGTGGCCGTGAAGGACTCGTCATCGCTGAGCTCAGTACCGCGGGATGGTGGTGGTGGCTCAGAGCTCATGGCTGATTTGGTGTGCTGTCTGCTAGAGACACGAGACCGTCTTGATCCACTCTCCAGACCACGGGACTGTCCGTCTCTTTCCTCCTCTTCTTCTCCTGGGCTGTTGAGACGGTCCTCCTCCTCAGTGAAGATTGGGCCTGAGGGTGGGGCAGACCCTGTGGTGGCAGTGATGTGGGCTCTTAGTGCGGCTCCACCGAGATCAGCAGCAGAACGCTTAAACAAAGGGTACATACCTACAGAAAAAAAACAAAAAAAAAACAGAAACATTACCAAGTCGTGCCAAGTAGTGACACAATGGTTGGATATCAGAGTGGACAACACTATGCCTCATTTATAGATGACTTGATTCCCCATCCAGGCAGACTATTATACTAATACTGTCTAATGTCCAGTATAAGCTGTAATAGTTTCACCTGGGGAGGTGCTGTTATTAAGTTATTACAGACCAGATCCAGTGCCAATCTGCCATGTCAATAGTTTTTACAAGTCTGTCAGTAATGACTCAATTATTAAACCCAAACTGATCTTATATTATACAGTAATATAACAAACATGAATAATAGACATTAGTACTCTGTTAACCATTGGAGGTGGAAATATTCAGACAGTGAAATCACTACATAGGTTTCTATTTGGGCTTTGGGAAAACAGAGAAAAAAACAAAAAGCAACAATTCACTGTGTTTATGTTTTAACCGGACTGTAAAATGTCAAAGTTATGTGTTATTCATGTGCCACACTAAGACAGAGACCCCAGACCGCTGAGCAGCTTAAGTGTTATAATAAAGCAAGAATGAGAAAGGTTCCACTGTTTTACAACTACAACAGTTTGTGTCCTCAGTTCCAAAACAGTTGGGTCGTTCTACAGAAATGTCCATTTTTGTGTCCCTAATGTTTACAGATATATTACACTTCAAAACATGTTAGGGTTACAATTTATTTATATTTTAAAATAAATACGTAAGTTATTTTAACAATTACACCCTCTTGAGCACCAATTTAACAACAGTGGTTTTTAAATCAATAATCTAGAATCCCAAGCACCACAGAAGTGCTCATCCCCACAGTCATGTGTAAAGGCTGAGTGCCATATTTTGAAGAAAAAAACTAGTTTTTCTGCAATTTTAACTGCAATAATCTACAGATGACTATGGAATATATAAATTAAATGATATAAAGAAAACAAATGGCAAATAAATATTATAAAATATATAATGAAAGTTGTGGTCCCCAGGAGTCGTGTCACTGGTGTTACCGCATAACAAAAAATCTCTTATTTTGGAATAAAAATCACACTGATGACATCACTTCTTCCCTTTTCCTATTTTCTGAGGATCTATGATGAAAAGCACATGGTGCCTCCACTGTGTCTTTTCAGTTATCAGAAATTTTCTCGTTTAGCTCATGATTTCATATGAAGCTTTTAGTTGACATCACTGGTATGACCTACTTTATTGTTAGGTAATTGTGAAAAAATAGAATACAAATGGATTAAATTACATTTTTAGTGGATATTCCATGATTGACAACATGTAGTTTGATGCTCTGTAGCAGCCATTTTGTAAAATGCATTTTTCATTAAAAATGTCACTGGTGTTACTTTTCTTATGTGCAACACCAATCAGGATTGGTAACACCAGTGAAACCTATGGATAGATAGAAAAGTAGACGTTTCTGTAGAATGACCCAATTATTAAATGTTGTTAAAAGGCGAAAAAATTGAAAAACAAAGTCACTTAGTCACTTAGTAACCATTTTGAAGTGAATAAAGAGAAAAAAAGGATTTTCAAATCATAGTGTTGTTTTCCTACTGTGCCAAGTTTTTTGGAATCAAGTTTGTACATTACAGAAGCTTTTTTGGCTAAACTAATCCAGTGCTGATATTTCTTAGGAGTTCTTGGGTACTTGAGCACTACACAGCACGTACTGTCCAAAGTGTGGTGGAACTAAAATGAGAACTATAAAACAGTACCACTTATTGTCTGCTTGCGTTTTGAAGCCGTTGCCAGTGCTGAAAGATCCATGAAGGCTGACCCCACCAGGCGGTCTGAGTCGTGAGGCCTTACTCTTTTCTCCTTCCCAAAGCAGACCCACAGCTGCACCTCCAGCCTCTCCTCCCTCAGGTACCAGCGTAGGGGCTGACTCCTCCTCAGCTCAATGGTCCAGTTACCTGGAAATGCTACTGTGGCCAGGCTTGAGTCTAGGTCAGAACAATAAATAGATAAAGATCAAAACATATACAATCTTTGGTCACTTTAGATACTAATGTGGAAATTCTGTTTCTGTAAAAAGTGTTTTATGTATTTGGTAGAAAACATTTAATTAATATTGATGATACATGTTTGGGGTGAAAAAAAAAAATCTACTCAACAACATTTTAACATTCAACATTTAACCCTTAGGTTACATTCAAAACTTAACAATGAAACGAGTAGTACTGTAGTACTACTCGTGGAGTTTTTTGGAGACTTTCAAACAAAGGAGAAACAGTGAAAAAGGAATTCTTGCTACTTTAGCTTTTCTGGTATTCATATGCAATGACAGCAAAACTGCAACTACACCACTATTTGGTAACATGTTACCACAGATTTGTCATAATGAAAAATTAGTTTAACTGCTAATGTGCAGCTTGTTTTACAAACACCATTGACTGGAGAAAGTGTTCTATAAACATACATTTCGCATAAACTGTTACTGACAGAATTCAGCAACTGCCCGTTGGCTTGTACTGTAAGAGTGTTTAAACTAAAAGGGTTTTTTATTGTGTTATAAGTACAGAGAAATGTATTTAAATTATTGCCCACGGTAATTGACAGCAGCCAAAATAAGCTGGAAAATACATTTCATTCCTATAATTGAGCAACAGGAAAAGCATGTATCGCTTTTCCTTAATTAGTGATATTGAATGATAATGAAAAACAAATTGTGAATTTAGCAATATCTGCCAGCCCTACCAGAGTCCTCCTCGCCCTCCTCCAGGGCTGGGTGTTTCAGCTCGGAGCAGAAGGCCTCCTGCTCATACAGTTTGTATCTGTAATAACAGTAGGTAGATCGCTGGAGCTCACTGTGACCTGGCAGCAGCAGGCAATGGACAGGCAGCCAGGCTCTTGGCATGGAGATCGATAACACCATTGACTGGCAGGTCTCTGAAGAAAAGTCTCTTTCCTCTTCTTCTTCACTGTCTCTCTCAGCTTCCCATCCCAGGAGCCGGGCTGAACTGAAGACTCGCTCTCGGTCTGCATGATGGGCAAAGTGGATGGAGAGTTCAAGACCCCCGACTGAGGTTAAGCTGCAATGTGACGACACGCTCGGAGGAAGAGAAAGACCAAACCAGCCAGATATGCCTGTAAAAACAACACAAATTACTAATCTGATGTCACACAGTAAAGATGTTATTATTGCTCAATCATCTTAAACATCTCACCTGTTCTTTTACGAAGCAGGTCTGCTAGATGAATTCTCACTGAGCCCAAAACACTGTCCTTAGGTCTCGATGCATCCACTGCTACAAAAAAGATGATGTTAAGACTGCATTGAGGAGTGAGACATACACACTTCTTTAATGCCACAACCCACATGTAGAGGTACTGCTGCGTCCCAGATCCAACAAATACTTTGGCAAGTGAAATTAGACAAACAAGCTTTGAGTCAAAACAAACACAACTGTATGCCATGAAAGAATAATGAAACATGTACATATTGATATGATTGGGTAGTTTGCTCTGTATTTAGTTGTAAACCATTCTGCTCTAACCTTCAGTATATTAATACACTTCATCACTATTTTGTTGGACATTACTGTTTTATTTACAAACCTCAATTCCAAAAAAGTTGGGACAGTTTGTGAAATGCTAATAATAACTAAAAGCAGTGATGGGTAAATTCAATTTGATCTGTATTAAAAAACAAAAATGTTGTTTTATTCATGTTTTAACTTAAGAACTTTTAACAAATATATGCTCATTCTAAATCTGCTGCCTGCAATTTCCTTCCAAAAAAGTTGTGACAGGAGCATGTTTACCATTGTGTTACATCACCTTTACTTTTAACAACACTTAATAATCATTTGAGGACTGAAGACACTAACACATCCAGTTCTGAAAGCAGATTTTTGTCATTCTTCCATTATACAAGTCTGCTGTCCAACCATATGGAGCCTTTGTTGGCATATTTTGTGCTTCGTAATGCACCACAGGTCTGGACTGCAGACAGTCTAGCACCCGCACTCTCTGATTACGCAGCCATGCTGTTGTAACACATGCAGAATGTGGCATGACGTTGTTATGGTGAAATAAGCATGGATGTCCCTGACATAGCAGTCATCCAGAAGACAGCATATGATGCTCTAGTGGTCTGCTCATACATTTTGTGACAAAGTGGTAAGCCTCAATCCATCCTTGCTCAAGAAGGACTAAGCCTCTCCTGGATGCTCTTTTTATACTCAAGCATGACTATATCACCTGTTTAAGATGTTTTCCAAACATTTCTTAAATGTTCCTAGTCTTACGTTGCCCCTGTCCCAACTTTTTTGGAATGTGCTGCAGAAAAGAATTTCAAAATGAGCATATATTTACAAAAAACAATTAAATTGATAAAGGTAAAACATTATGCATCTACTATTTGTACTGTTTTTATTTAAACATGATCAAAGTGAAATTTTACATTCAACATATTATGTCAACTGAAGCTTAGAAATTAAACAACAACACAACAACAACAACAACAACAACAACAACAACATGTAAAAATAACAGTCCTTCATGTTTCTCTTTTGATGACTAACACATAGAAAAGCATGAGTTTTCTATGCTGCTCTACAAAAGTCCAATGGTCTGATTCTTGTTTAGAATAAAGTGCTCACCCTTGCGCGTGTCTCTGTTGTAGACGGTGAAGACCGCCACAGCCTCCTGCAGCAGCTCAGCCAGGCTCACACTTTCACCCGTGTCCCTCTGCACCATCAGCTGACAGCAGAACTCTGCATGATGCTCAAAGTCTGGGCAGAAGCTCTTGGCGGCCACACGCGTGCTCCGGCTCTCCCTCTCCGACAGCAAGGACAGCTGCACAGTGACGAAGGAGTTGACTCCAACCTCCGAGTAGTACTGCAGTGCTAGAGCCCTACACAGACCAAGAAACATGAAGAGAAGTTTAGGGGACAGTGAAACACGTACCCCACAACATAACCAAGCTCAATACAAACACTGAGAATTAACCTTTGAGGTCGCAGTTGCAGCAGCGACAACAAAAGCACAGTTTCATATTAATTACTTCTCACTTGATGCTCTTTGAAACATGTGTGAGACACTTTATTCTGATATGAATTTGCTAAAGTTATTATTGTGCATAGAGTTTGGTTTCTTTGCTGAAATTTTTATGTTTTTGTAATTTCTTAACAAATCAGAAGTACAGACTAAAACCTATTAATACAGAGCGTAAATCAAAAGCAAGTGTAATTCATTACATAGTCAACCATGTGCTTAATTACACAATTACATATAAAGCTACACTATGCAAGATTTGGTGACCTCTCTGGAGGAAACTGCATGCATTGTGTGGAAGAACATTTTGTAATGTCATTTGTGCATCGGACCCCTTCCCTGAGCAGATGAATCTGATGATTGTCTGCACGTTGAAAGAGCAAAAGAGAACTCAGTCAAAACTGAGTGAAGGACGTGTCTTCCGAGGATGTAAGTGAATTATCTATTGCTGTCATCATATCTTTATCAGTATATTCTTTTATTTTTGCTTTTGAGAACTAAACATTGAGCCTGTGCATGTAACAGTAATACATAAAGGCATTCTCTGAAAAACTCTCCTGACCCTTCTGACTTTAAAATTATTATTACAGGGTGACTTGCAGCAGACCGTGCACACCCTATTTTAGCATGTTTTTTTTTTCTGTTCTGACTCGGTAATGCTTCAATTTTAACAATAATTATTAGACTAAGGGTTAATTAAATGGCAGTGGACAATTAGAGTGACACAAATCAATCATTATAACTAGTTCAAATGATCTGTCATTATGATCGTTTTGTCACATTATTTCTGTTAAGAGATTCCTTCAACTGGTATGGCATGGTTGCACAGGTGGGGATAGTAAATGAATGGTGAGTGACTCACCGTGCTGCAGCCTGTAGTCCAGCGGCTCTGTGTACCTGCACAACCAAGTTCACCACACGGGACGCCACAGCGCCACTCTTCAAACCATGACTCCTCCTCACCGGCCGAGTTTTGTACTGGACACTCACGTCAAGTAGCCCTACAAACAAATATTGTTCTTTTCATGTTAAGGGGGAATTTCACCAATTTTTCTACATTTCTGAAAAATTCAGGTCTTTGAGCTGTTAAACAGACATTCAGAGTGGTTTGATGCGAAATAATTCTAGAGAAACTTTCAGACTTTAATTTCTTTACAGTGGTGGTAATGGAACCAGGGGTCACAATGACTACAACACAAATATAGCCAGTTTATTTACTATCCAAAACCACCAGTGAACCTACATGTGTCTTCTGAGTTTTTAGATGAAATGTTGATGAAGGTAAAATAGTCATAAATCTGGAAAAAATAAGTTTCTTTGGGGACTATTTTGCCTTACAATGCTCTGCATGTACCCCTCCACCGTGAATGGATTAAAATACATTTTAAGCCAAAACTTTATCACAAAACTACTAGAAAACAGTGTGTGGACTGCATATATGTAACCATTTCATGTAATAACTTTCTGTGAGGGAGCTTTCAAAGGCATTAAACGCAAGCGTTTGGTTCCTATCACCACCACTGTGAACAATTCTGACTTGGCAAGTTTCTCTAGAACGGAGCAGCTCACACCAAATTACTCTGATTGACTCTGATTGAGTGTACACCACAACCATTTAATTATGTAGATTTTTTCTGGAAAAAAAAAATCAAAACTGTGGAATTCCCATTTACCAGCTTCAGTTGTGGTCATTAATTAGACTGGTTTTGTAATATATTTTTGGTCATTTAAATCCACAATTCATATTTATTTTCTCTTTTGTAAGAACAGGAAAAATGAAAAGTTTTACAATGTCTTGCCTTTTCTCGAAATTTTACTCTTTTTACTGTCACTTTTCACTTTCACCACATATTATAACACGAACAAATAAACATAAACACAGTGAAAACAGGAAGAATGTCTTGTTTTGAAAGTGGTTGACATCTTCTGAGCTACTTTGAAGAACAAAGTCTGGTTCCAGATTTCTCCTGACGCCTCCAAATATCACAAGAATTTATTAAAATCCATTAACAGCACATTAGATTTAACGTAAAGAAGCCAAACTACGTGTTGGATGTTAACTAAAAATAATAAATCATAAATAAACAATCTCAGTTCTAATATTTGCATCTATTCTAACACTAGTGTTATAAAATAAATGCTCACTAGCCAGACTAACTGCTCTTTACTTCTGCTTTTGTGTTTTATACAAAATATACACCCACACACATATAAAAATATATAAAGATATATTATAAAAGCTATATTATTAATGAACTGAAGAAGAGACCTGAGGGCTGAGGCTGGACATCAGCAGGCCTGTCGGTTCTTGGTATCAGTGGGAGGGAGAAAAGCTGGGCCTCCGTTTGGCCCTGTCTCTGCATCGTCACCATGGCACACAGCTTGGCCACAGGCAGAACCCCTCTGGCTACCAGCTGCTCTCGAACATTTGGGTAGTAATACCTGCCAAAGTTTTACCACAAGAGTACTCAGTGTATTTGTTCAGTTTCTTTGTCTTTGTTTTATTACACAGGCAAACTAATAATAATGATAGTAATAATAATAATAATAATAATAATAATAAAAGATTTTAGATTTTTAGATTTTGTCCATTACAAGATGACCAGGACTCTTTGGGCAAACTGTCAGTGACACTGCTCACTACTGTACCTGCACCACACTTCGAACTGGATTCCTCCTCCACTGCTTTGACCCTGGCTTGCCAGAGAGCTGAGCAGCAGTCTCTGCACTGGAATAGCAGGGGGTGCCAAAAGCACGTGGGTCTCACAGTGTCCAAACACAGGATCAGGCACGCACAATGTGGTAGCAGTTCGACATGACTTCAGATTTACACCTGAGAGACAGGAAACAAAACTGAAATTATTTTGTGATACATAAAAAAAGACAATTGCACTCCAGTCCAAAAATATGGGGCCAGACTTAAAGGGACCTGTGCTGATTTTTTGATTTTCTGCATAATTAAATCATTAAGTTGTAAAGTCATTTAGAGTGGTTTGATGTGAAAGGTTAGTTAACACTTTTTTGTTTCCAGCGTCTGCTTCTTTAGTTTTGTACTGGAGCTACCAACCACATGCAGCTAGCAACGAATTAGCATCATGCAAATTACAGGCCTAAATCAAACATTTGCCTCAAACTGTGTTGACGTGTTAAAGAATCTCAAATAGATTTGCTTATGTGGTTTCCAACACTGTATGACATTTACTGTTATATACAAAAAATGCTTATGACTAAGGTCAGTGCCATTTTGTTTGTAGCTTTGTCCATTTTTACAGCTAACAGTATGTCATATAGTACCTGAAGGCACATTTGAGACAAATGTGTGATGATTTAGGTATGCCATTTTCCCTGCAAGCTGCCAACTTTAGCATTTTTGGCTCAAACATTCTTTGCATTTGAACAAGCTACACACTGTTGGGCAGCTGCTTACTGCTCTCCACAACATGGGGGTCGACGTCCTCACTGGCGTCCTCCTCCTGAGCGGGAAATGAGTACTGGACGTAGCAGTCTGCTTCTCCCCATACAGTGGACTGTAGTGGTGTCAGTCCCTTCACTCTCTCAACCCTGACCAGAAAGACATGCTCGTTCAGAGCCTCAGCAGGGGGAGCAGTATTCGCCTGCACAAGAGTAAGACAGTGAATTAAAACCTGAAAAAAAAGTCAGCATTCATTTCATTTTACCTCAAAACCACAAATCTGTGCTTTGATGCAATCTGATGACTGTCTATCAAACTTTGAAACACTGTTTTGAATCAGGAGCGTAAAACTGCATTTCTTAAGACTAAAGGCACTGCATAAAGCAGTGTAAACACTCTAGCAGAGCCAAATCAAGTCATGAAGGGTGGATGAGTTGAATCAGGGTATTAAACTGAGCAGGGCTGTGACCCCCCAGGACTGAAGTAGGGATGAGCATGGTTATCTAAATTCATAGACATGAATGTGTCTCATGTTAAAGGAGAACTTCACAGATTTTTCAAAATGCCTGCATAATTAAATGGTTAAGATTTAAACAAAGTCATTCAGAGTGATTTGATGCAAAATGCTCAGTTCTAGAAAAACTCACCAATTCAGAATTGTTCACAGTGGTGGTGATAGGAACCAGACGTCTCAGTTTAATGCCTCTAAAAGCTCCCTCACAGAAAGTTATTACATGAAGTGCTGACAAATGTGTTTCCTGATGTCTGAGACATTGTTTTATGTAACTTCTGTGATGAGCTTTTGGCCTGAGACAGATTTTTTAAACATATTCACAATAGAGAGGTGTTATAGGGGCCATGACAATGTTGTGCAAAACCAAAAAGGTATATCATTAAATTAACCCAGAAAGAGTAAATTGCATAACCTCATATGCAATAAAAGAAACTTAAACCTTCTGTGTTTTTGGATACAAAATATTTTCTGCAATGTTCAACTATTGTTCACCTAGTATTTAAACAGCAAAAGTTGTCAAAATGCCCATTCCTAGAGAGGAGTCTGATACAGATCATACCTTCATGTCTGGAGCGGGCCTGTGGTCCAGCAGGTGGACAGGTCTGGGCAGCTGAGAAACAGAGGCCAGTTCCTCATCTCTCATACGCTGGAGAGCTGTGATCTGCTGGGCCAGGCCCATGGCCAGACACACCCTCAGGCTCCCACGAGTTCCACCTGTGAAGATGTCCACTACCGGCATGTAGCTGTCCACTGCCAACACTGGATACTGAGCCTTCAGGAGCAGCTGGGAAATCTTGGGGTCTCTAATGGAGGGTGGGAGAAGTAGAACAATGTCTTTCTCAGTAAACATAATGTAAATGGCTTAAGTTAAAAACTACAAAACTAAAAAGTTGGGACAGTAGGTGAAATCCAAATTAAAACAGAAAGCAGTGATTTCTAAACTGTCTTTTACAGATATTCAATTAAAAACTGCACAAAAATGAGATGTTTAATGATTTACCTTATCAACTTCACTGATTTTTGTAAACATATACTAATTCCAAATTTGATGCCTGCAACACATTCCAAAGAAGTCAGGAAAAGAGCAACACAAGACTTGGAAGTTTGTGTAAAAATCAAAAACATCTGCTTTGGAATTTTCCACAGGTAAACAGGTGAATAGGTAGCAGGTGACGCTACCATGATTGGATATAAAAGGAGAATTCATGAAAGGTTCGGTCAGCACTTAGCAAAAAACTGTGTATGCGAGAAAGGCTGAAAGATTAATCGATTTTATATCAAAATCGCAATTTGAGAGAGTGCAATTTTCAAATCACAAGAGCTTCAATTTTTTCAAGTTATATATATATATAGATATACAGTATCAAAAATGCTGTCCAAGTAACACAGAGCTTGTGAACTGCCTGTAGATGAGTTAGACCAATCAGAGGCAACCAAACCTCCACTGGCATGACATCATGACCACAAGTTACTGGCAGACTGGCACAATGCACTCAGAGGTTGAGCCTCGAGCCAGAAAAGGTCAATATTCAGGTCTTCTTCCACTCTACTATGCGGAGTGGAAGCCATATATCAACAACATCTAGAATCGCCACTAACTTCTCTGGGCTAAAACCAATCTGAGATGGATTGATGTAAAGGGATAACGTGTGCTGACGAGTCCACCTTTCAAACTGTTTCTGGAAATAACTGACGTCATGTTCTCCAGGCCAAGAGGAAAAGGACCAGTCTGATTGTTTCCAACACTAAGTTCAAAAGCCAGCAACTGTCATGGTATAGAGGTGTGTTAGTGGGTAACTTGCACATCTGTAAGGGCACCATTAATGCTGAGGGGTACAAACACATTTTGAAACAAAATATGCTGCCATCTGCTCAATGTCTTTGTGAGGGATGTCCCTGCTAGTTTCAGCAAGACAATGCCAAGCCACATTCTGCGCACAGTACAGCATTGTGGCTTCGTAGTAAGAGAAAGCAGATGCTAGACTGACCTGCTCATAGTCCAAAACTTTCAAACCGTGGCGCATTATGAAGCGTAATATACCAAAATGGAGACCCCGGACTGTTGAACAGCTGAAGTGTTATAATCAAGCAGGAACGAGGAAAAAATTCTACTTTTACAACTACAACAGATACTGAACGTTCTTAAAAAGAAAGGTGATGTTTACAGTGGTAAAAATCCCCCTTTCCCAACTTTTTTGGAACTTGTCGAAGGCATTAAATTTAGAATAAGTGTATATATACAAAAAACAAATCTAGTTGATTAGACAAAGCATTAAATGTCGTGTACGGTTTTAAATTGAATACAGGATTTGCAAACGATTGTTGCCGTTTGTATTTACATTTTTTACATTTACATCTCTCCTAACTTTTTTGGAATTGGGTTTGTATAAGGTAACTGTATACATCAGGTATCATTCCTGCTTTTACATGATTCAATGTAAATCACATATATTCATTGTCCTGATGCCAACCTGAATGACATGTAGAACTGGTGAAGAGGTAGTTTGACCAGCCCAAGCAGTTTATCATTATCTGAGCTGCTTGCTCTGAGCCAAACTTCTATGACCATCATATTATTCTTCATCCTCTCCAATAGTTTGGAGTTGAGAGCCACTGGTGCAACCTGCAGAACACAATATATAAAAAGTTTGTATAATATATACATAAAAATTGTTTGATATATTTGTGTTGGAGACATCATGACACACGGTTCCTATCAGCACCAGTCTACAATTAATCATTAACCTGAATGACTATATTTACATGTTAACCTTGAAAAATGAGAGGCATTTTCTATTAACCCTTCTGAAAAAGAAGTTAAGCATTTTTTTTCAATATTTCTATTTTTAGCAGCCTTGAAGAAAATATACCTGAATAAATGGATTTCTTAACACACTGCAGCATACTTAAACAAAAGTATATTTAATTGACATCAATGTAAGTGTATTATTTAGAAGTATGTTTTAAAGCAATGACTTTTAAAGAACGCTTTAGTACATGTTAACTGCATATTAGTTGCAACATATCGCCAACTAAATATCAATCAAACCTGAGTGTCGGGTACACCCAAGAGCACATATCTAAAATATGTTTCATACATTGTAGAATTTGCATCATACCAGTTGCTTAAATCAGGGGTGTCCAATCTTATCCACAAAGAGCTGGTGTGGGTGCAGGTTTTCACTGCAAACAAGCTGAAGCACACCTGATTCTACTTGTTCAATCAGTCGGTCTTAGTCTTCAAACATTTCATCAGGTGATCTCCTGCTTTGTTGGAGTGAAAACCTGCAGCCACACTGGCCCTCTGCACATAAGATTGGACACCCCTGGCTTAAGTTAACTTCAACGCAACATAAGTCGTTTCAATTTCGAAACAGAAACGAACTTGCAGGCATAGATGATGTGTTTCAACACTACTTAAATATAATTTAAGTACATATAAGTAGTGTTCAGTTATTCCTAATACTATTTAAGTGTATACTTAATTATGGTTTAGAAATGTACGGTTAACATGTGTTTTATTTGTTGAATGTAATTATATTTAGTGATACTGAAATATAATTTAAAGTGCATTTAAGTGCATTTTAGTGGCAGGATAACTAATTTTAATAACAGCTATGTTTACAAATTACATACTTAAATCTACTTAAGTGCAACTTAAGTTGTCAAAAAATTAGCCTAAATTTTTCAAAGGCACTGTAATGGATTTTTTTTTTTTTCAAATGCACTCACCTGAACCAAGTTGAAAGTCGGGTGCACTTGACCCCAGCTGACTACAGACCGTGTGGTCTCCTCAGACCCAAACAGCTTACAGTTTAAGTAGACATTGGGCTGCATGGGTGCGCAGCTGAAATCCTTCCCATCTGGCACCATGAGCAGGGTATGAAGTAAAATGCCACTCTCTTCATCCTCTGCACTCTGAGAGAGTTTATGGGGAGAGTTTTGAACTCTGCTTCGGGGGGAAGTGGACTGAGGCCCAGTCCGGGGCATCAGGATGTTCTGGACTTGAGGAACTGCTGAGGGGGAGGGGTCTCTTCGGCGATCACTCTCAAAGATAGGTGGAAAGTCTCCACAGTACTCATCAATCTGTGGCCCAGTAGAAACTTCAGGGGCAGGAGTTTTCCGTGGAGACGCACCTGGACTCAATGCTGTCTTTCCTGATTTGCTCTTGGAGGAGAAGTCTTTCTTGTCTGCTGCCAGCTCAAATGAGACCTTCAGGGAAACATTTCTGTCATTAGCCTGTCATTAGCCAATGGATATAGTTTTGAGGCCACTACTCTCACTTTGTTACCTTCATGTAATTTTGTCACAACTTTGGAGGAATGCATTGGATCACTGGGCCTCATTTAGCAACTGTTTTTAAGGAACAATTTCTTCTCAAAAACCACTTACAGAGTTTTAAGGAGATTCTGACCAATGTTTACTTAGGATTTGCTTTTAGGTAACAACAGAATCCACACACACTCAAGAGTACAAAGATGTGAACAATTCTGCGTTTTCTTAGGACCTTTCTCAAGAACAAATTTAAGAAAAAACTCAGGAAGTTATTGCTGAATGAGGCCCATTGTCCTGCTTGAAGACCCAGCTGTGACCAAGTTCTAACTTTCTGGCTGATGTTCTCAGGTGCTGTTTCAGTATTTCTACAGAATTCTTTTGATGCCATCTACTTTCTGAAGTGCACTAGTCCCTTTTACAGCAAAACAGCCCCACAACATAATGCTGCCACTCCATGCTTCACGGCTGGGGTGGTGTTCTTTGGATTAAAAGCCTCACCCTTTTTTCTTCATACACAGCGCTGGTTATTATGGCCAAACAGTTCAGTTTATAGGGATGCACAATATAGCAATTGTGGGCCAATGCCGATATCCAATATTTTTTGTGTGCCAATGGCAACTTACAAAATGTAGAAATTGGGACTACATCTTCCTGGATTCATTAGCATTTTGGAGAAATCTAAAATTTTTATATGGTTACAAATGCAGTAGTTTATTTCAAAGTAAGTATCTGCCAATGCCAATATGATTCTGATATTGCTGTGCATCCCAACTAATTCAAATAAAATTGTGAGCTCCACAAACTGTTCTCTGGATCATACCATTTACTGATGTTAAGGGGTCAATGTGGCATTTTTTTTCAATGAGAACTCTGGTCAAATGGATGCTAAAGGGTATATTACCTTGAGGGGCCCAACATCCTGTTTGTCTGAGTCTTCGTCCAACTTTTGGACAGGAAGAGCAGTGGTGATAGTCAGCCGGTCACTCTCAAGTAAAGTGCGTAAGGGGAACACAGCTGTTCCTATGGGAACAGGCTAAAACAGCATATAAAAAGTCACATACAGTCCACAGCATATAAAGGGGAGACTCCATACATTTAACACTGAAAATTGATGAATGTCACACTTACTTTCTTTTGATAGCTTTTCCTGCAGTAGACTTTGAATGTAAGGCTTGTGTCCCACCATCGTTTAATAGTGGGCCCATTGAAGTGCACTGGAAAGACACTCCGCTGCTGAAAGTGCACCACTGAAAAGAGAAGATTCATATGATGTCCTTCCTATTTGGTCAATGTCACTGTGCTTTATGTACTACTCAAACGAAAAATAAGGCTCACCTCCTTCCACAACTTTACTGGAGACAACTCGCGTGACCTCCGCAGGCACTGCCAACCCCGCTTCATTAGTAGTAAGTGCTAGTGGAAAGAGATATTCCACAAAATACGAGCTACACAAGACAGACAATGAAATAGATGACTAATTTATACAAACATAATCATTTCCACAAGAAACTAAGTATACAAACTGCTATTTGGAGCGCACCATTTCTTGGTAGTAAGAGGTCGAGGTGGTCTTCCTTTCCCTGAGAGCTTCCTTGGTATGTTAGAGGTACTGTCTGTGGGGACTGTTAACTGAAGGATGATAACTCTGGCCAAATGGATGCTTCCAAGAAGTGCAATCCTATCGACACTGAGGCCAGGGAGCACATCTTTAGGTCTTCCATGCTGCCCAGCATCTGAACCAAGTCTTCACAGAGATGGAAATATGTATTAAGTAAAAAGATTGATTTAACAATGACAGTTAAGGTCATTTTGCAAAACATGCTTTGTGCTTAGTCATGTACTGAACATTTCAGCAGTTGGCCATTTTGCCCAAGCACTTATGTACATGAAACTAACCTGTTATTTTTTTCTGAGCTTGGTTTCCTCTGATAATCATCTTCTCTTGCACTCAAACAGCTGTCAGACTTCTGAAATTAGAAAATCAAAAGTAAATTAAATCTAAATGGCACTACAGGACTTTCAAAATTAGAGACCTTCTGTACTGCTCACACTACTAGGGATGTGTATTCAGACTAAGAACCAGATTTACTAAAAGAGGCGCTCATTACTGGCAGTCTGCCGACACTTCGCGCTGATGGGGTGGCCAATTTTGCAGTGTATCTACTAAGAACTCTGAAGCAAATAAACACAGATGCAACTTCATATATGACCAGCGCAATATAACCACGTTTGACTCGCATGCTTTTTGTATGGGAGCCCATTTCCATCCAGTAAGAGAAAAGGTCTGCATTCCAAACTGCACACTAACTAGCAGGGGTGGGCGATATGGCAAAAATATTATATCAGAATGCTTCACAACATTTTTACAATACATATTATGCATCACAAAATTTAATTTTTCTGAAAATGTTTTAAGTCGGAACAGACACTTTAGAGCATTTAGTGCCACATGTACTCCAAAAATACTCTTAATAACAATAAACCTACAACTACAATTTTTTTATTAAATATTTCACAAAATGCACTGCACTAAATACAATTAAACAGCCCCAATTATGCTAATTTTGTAACAAATCTACAGTACAGAAGGGTGAGGTTTGGGATGCAGCCAAAACATTTTTTATCATTCACTGATTCTGGTTAAAATTGTAACTCATCAGGTTAAAATAATGACTTACTTTTTCAAGATTTAAGGGTCAAAATAATGACTAATAACTAAAGTACAGGTTATAATTCTTTGAGAAACTGTGTGATTATTTTGACAATAAGTCATTATTTTCAGATAAGATTTTTTAAAATACATAAAAAAATAGACAATAAGTAAATTATTTTGAAGTTGTGATCATTTGTGGAGTTATGTCAAAATACCATTCAGGTTCTTGCTAGAGTTCTAATGGCCTCCCTCTGTTTCCTGTGTCCACACATAATCTGACGATCTTCACTATGATTACTGTTTCTCTGGCTGTTCCCACTTTCCCATCTCCACTCTCACTTGGTATTGCTCATTGCAGTTTTTACTACTTGTCGTACTTGTGCTCATTTTCTAGCAGTGATTTATCACAGTGATAATCAAAATGTTTTATCACAGATCATTTCAAACATTCAGTAAAATGGTCACTGTCCGGGAAAATCATGTCTCGGAATGCAAGCTGTAGTGACAGGCAATGTACCGTGATCTGTCCCTAACATGAGCAGGTCTGTCACAGTATGGAAAATTAGAGTTAAAATCTTGTGCAGTGCAATCAGTCTGTATCGGTCTAATATAGCTGACATGGAGTTTGCCATGTGTGGGTGGTGTGCAACAGCAGTGCAACAGCAGTGCTACAGAATGCAGGACTTACTGGAGTTTTGTAGAACAGGTTCTCCAGAAGGCTCTGGTCATATTGCGGATCACCAAGTTCACTGTCCAAGAGAACACTGCTACAACCCGAGAGAGAGCCTGGCGGGGAACCATCTCCATCCCATATGGGAAGCACAGATCTATTCACGCTGAAAACAGAGAGATTACTAAGCACTTCATTTTCACGGCAAGTGTCACTGATACAGCACTCTGAGTTTAGAGATCAAATTACACAGTGGGTCACTGAAAATTTAAACCTAATTAAAAGTGAACCCGAAAATCCGTACAACATAAACTAGCATTTTCATGGAATATTTGCAAATCTTACCACACTTAAGAAAAGGCTAATCTAGACTACCTTCCCAGCAGCAGATCCACAGCTGCATCATGAGTATCTGTGGTATACTCTGGCCTAAGGAGATCAGGGTCCTGAGATGAGTGCTGGAGGTCGGAGTGGAGGATGTTCTGTAGCAAATGCCCTGATGAGGGCAGCAGTGGCCTTCAGAGAAAAAAAATTAAAAAGCTTATATTAAGCTTACTTTATGCTAGCAAGCAATTGCCATATTATAATGCAATTTTATGTTTCAAAAAGCCCAGAGACATACATTAATGGAGCAGCACCAATGTTGCCTCTTGGCAGAGGCAAAGGAGCATCTTTCAGAATGTCAGAATCCATGTCAGACTTCAGTGCTGAAACCACCATTGCATTTCTAAGCTTGCTACCACGCTCAAGAAGAACTGTGAGGGGAAAAAAATAAAGGAACACCTTTCAATTTGACTTCATCCACAGGTAATAACACATTAGCACTCTGACTTAGTGAAGGAATAGTTTGTAAAAACAAAACAAAAAAAATATATATACGACTTTAATTTTACCCCAGATGTGGTCAAGCAGCCAAGATAAGCTTGGTGTCCAAATTTTGCTTCTTTTGTGCTAACGGACGCTAAAAGTTAAAGCTTACGCTACCAAAAGACTCTAGAAATCTACAGACACTCAATTTTTTTTATAAATAAGCGCTCAAAACTTCTCTTAACCTGCTCAAAGCACTTCCATATCTTCTTACTATATACACAATTATAAACAATATTATAACACAACATACACAATGGTTTGTTCATTTTTATAGCTGACAGTAAGTGTCTACTGTGAAATAAAAAACAATGACAAATTTGTGTGACATTAATAAAGACCTGGAGGGGGCTGGTGAAAAGTTCTGGGGATGTATTTACAGAAAAGATTTCTGAGTGGAAAATTGTGTAAAGTCGATTTTTTGCATCACTGTCCTCAAATGCAAAGAATTATAATGAAAGAAAAGTTTATGAAACATTACCAGAGAGAAGATCAATAGATGCCTGATTGTCTCCTGAGGCTATGTGGGCATCTGGATCACTCATCTCCTGCACACCTGTGTTAACTACAGCTCCTTGTCCAGCAAACCTTGTTTTTTGGTGCAGCATAATATCATCTGGCTTCGGGGGTGACCGGCTTCTGATGGGAAAGTTTCTCCTTTCTTGAAAGTACAGGTGATCCTTCCCCCTAATGCAACAACCACAGAATACAATTAAAACACACACACTATGGCAGCTTTAGTTTCTTTTTTAACCTGATTTTACGTGAAATACAGCATTCTAGAGAACCTTGTGACTTCTTCACAGTGAGTGTGAAAATGTGAAACATGAAATGAGCAGATATCCTTTACCGATAAAATGACATTATATGCTGATGATTTTGGTGAAATGCTCAAATATCATTCAAGAAGAAAAGGAAAAAAAAAAGACAGACAAACCTTGGTGTGCTGTTGGAACTGCCTCCAACTGACTCTTTCCCACTTTTGCTTGGTCCGTAGTGGGACAATGGAGGTGCCTGCATGTTTTGGTCAGGTATTAGTCCAGGAGCAGACAATGCAGCGTCAAAGCTCATGTCTGTGGTTGGCACTGAGCTGCTGCTGTCATAAGTTTCTGTAAGTGGCTCTAAGGCCAGTGTGACCTGTAAAAAGAACACAAATTAAAACATTTTGCAAAAAAATGCATCTACCAAAAGCATTATCATCTGCAAAATGAATCTTGAGATGTTTAAAGCCCTTGTCATATATATATATATATATATATATATATATATATATATATATATATATATATATATATATATATATATATATAGGTGATGTCAGATCTGCCAAAGTACCAATCAGAGTAACAATATATACCTCAGCTACTCGCGATCTTCGCCCAAACCAAAACTCCCAGCAAGCAGCTTATTTCAGCTTTCCTAAACGTGTTAATGGTGCTTGTTTTGAAGGTTTATTACACCGTTCTTTGTAGTGTATCTAGACACTGCCTCCTACTTGTGCTAGACACCTGTTGCAGGTGAAGCAGTTAACTTCACTTCAGGCCTGCGATAGCTAGCAGTCCACCTTAACAGTAGAAATAAAATGATTCGTTAGCTTAGTATTACATTAGCTTACTCCCCCTCCCAACATCAAGGCTCACTGTGTTTCCTGCAGGCATGGCGCACAATAAGGCCTGCTAAAAATTTCTCCACCATGTCCGCAAATATGATCATTCTAACTCATAACGGGAGCTCGTGTGGCCTGTAATGTAATTAGATCTCTAAAATGACCATTTGTCTGCCAGGGGGCTTAAAAAGTGTAGATCTGAACCACACCAGGGTCATGGGTTATGTTGCCTGGGAGATGCCACTGCGAATCATTATGCGATCTGACACGCCCACATAGTCCCAAGCAGGCACTTTGGAATTCCTAGAGCATTTATCTACATTAAATTGGCTAAATTTATATATTTCTCTAATGCCAGTTAACGCTTTTTCCACGGCATACCTTTACTACAGGGAGATTCACTCGAAGAGGCCCTGAATATTCTGTAATAACTCTCTCTAGGACGAAGCAATCTGAACGAAACAACGTGCAATGTGCTCCTCAGTATATGGAGCTTTGAACAAGCCGGGATGCCCCTGCGTTGGAGCGATGAGGTAGGCGCCGGACAGTCATCACAATTTAAGTTATAAGTTTGCTACTTAGTGGTGGGCTACATAGCCCCGTACCCCATCATGTGTCTGGCAGAAAACTGAGATCACTTCCAGCATCGCATGTAATGCAATCAATTACACATACGTCAAGGTATGTAGCGTATTTTTTTGGTTCAGACTGCTTCATCCTAACGGGAATTACAACAGAATATTCAGGGCCTCTTTCGAGTGAATATCCCTGTATTAAAACAACAATTTAAACATTTGAAACTATGTTGACAGAGGCTTTAATTTGACTTGTGCAAAACAAAAATGAAGGCAAAATAATCAGATATTAGTGATTAGAAAATTTAATTTGTCTCACTCACCTGAAGCTCCCCAAGTTTTTCAGATGTTGGTGAAACAAGGGTAAAAAACCCATGGATGGAATGTGAAAGTGACAATCTGGCAATCCCAGCTATCTGAACTCGTGCTATAGGTAAGTGATCAGGCTTTGTAAGAACATCCAACACCAAGGAGCCCATATCTGTGAACAGACAGACCTACATGTTTTTAAAGATGCACAAGAAACACTAAATTATTTTAAAAGTATTATTGGACCTGTAATCTTTGACATCTCAATATAACTTTACTATTTGATTTTTGCTATTTTAATTTTAAACATCTGCATTGTCATATATTAATGTGCAATATTTGGACTGTAATATATTAATTTGTATTTTTTATTCATTATACATATTTGAATTAAAATATGTTAATTTGTATTATCTGATTTGTAATTTTCAAACTGTAATAATTACTTTGTAATATTTGATTCCCAATATTTGATACTGAAGGGCAAAATCTGCAATCTCAATATGATCTGTGTTGTAACAATTATGTTGCAATTATGTAGAAATGGTGTCTGATTTCACTACCTGTCAGATATGAAGTGAACTGCTTGGGTCCACATCGGACTGGAAAGCGGCTTGTGGACTTAACATCCTTCTGTCGAGTGAGGGACCCGTCTCTGGGACAGAACAGAGTTCCGCCGGTCGATTCACCCCACCATCGCAAGCGGACCAGGGTCAGCGGGGGAGGCTTGCTTATTGTCCACAGCACTCTGCTTACTGTGACCCTTAAGAAGCATCGCACCTGACCCTCCACAAGAGGAGGAATGCTCGTGGAAGGGGAAACATCACTGATGACTGAAAAACAAAGTGTTAGAATTTTAATTAAGAAGCAAAGCAACGACCAGACTAAAGCTTACATTTTAAAAAAGTTGGACACAGATTTTTACATGTTGAACAACAGAAGTGTTACTTTTCAGTTTAGCCTGCTGCTGTAATACTTGGGAGTGTTTCTGCTTCCTTACCACACTGGAACTGGCACTTTTTATCTAACCTGTCAATCTGACACATCTGCATTCAACCAAAACAGATGTATCAAGCGATAAAAGTAGGGATGTAAAAAAATACAACACGTATTGCATCGTATAGTATTGTTGACTCGTGACTTTTGTCAGCTTGTGTTTACCATATTAGCTTGTGCTACAGCAATAGACTGGGACACTATAAACCATTTTTTTAAATACTGTCATTTTATAATGCTGAATGCTCTAATAAATTGAAAATCTACTTATTTTTTCTGTATCAAAAAATTTACCAAATTGAGAAAACAAATTCTCTGAATCATTACACCCCTAAATAAAAGCACAACTGTTCTACTCATTCTGCACATATTTTGCACTCACAGACTTCATACTCTTCCAGTCTTGATTTCCGGAAGATAAAAACACAGCTAAAAACACAGCTTAATCAGATTTTGTTAAACATTTGTGAAGCTGGGGACAAAAAGAAAAATGTGAGGAAAATAAACGCACGCAGGGGAAAATAACATTACATATACAGCTCAATGTTTTGCCTAAAAAACACTTTTACTAGCTGTTTCTCAGTGTTTAGAGTTTCTGAAACAATTTTGGTGAAATATCTGCTTCTAAAGGAAGATATAGTTCAGGAACCTTCCAATGCTTCCATAGAGCATAGAACAAAACATCAAAACTGCTTTTAGAAAGTGTAATATGTCAATAATACCATGGCACAGTATTTTGCAACAGTTGTGCTATTATTTCCATCTTATGGCAGACCCCAGAGGGAACTGAACACATGTAATCTCACAATTCACCTTGCACTATATAATGCTGAAAATATTCTTTCATTTTTAATGTACTAACATGAGAATGCCTGTGGTTGTACTGCAATACTTTGATACTGAAACTGGATGCAGATCTACGCTCAATGGATGCTGTATCTTTCTTTAAAAGCACACACTTCTGAAAAAAAATGAGGGCAAAAGGTTTGAAGAAAACCCTGGACCGCTCCTTTCAGCTAGTAATCCTGATCAAAACTGCTAACTGTTACTTCACATAATTTCACGCACAGCAAATGAGAACTACACAGAACGAGCGATTAATCTAGCAGAGTTTCACAGACAGTCAGGCAAACTTGTTAAAACAATGTCTCTATTAACAACTGTAATACGTTTTTCACTGTAATGGACTCAGTATCTGGAGGATGGCCGGTGTACCAACAATTTGTCCTACCCATCAAGCGGTCCTACCGAGCATAGGCATGTCTCTCACATAAGTGCTTCATCCCAATTATTTGGGAAGACTGCAGTTATTTAAGATGACTGCAGTTATTTAAGATGACTGTTATCATTTTTCACATTTGTTAGATTCCACAGTCATATTAGGCCACAACAAACAAAATGTGAATGGGTGGTATTGGGTTGAGGGGAATAAATGTAAATAAAAGAAAGCAGTAAATGAATTCATTGAGACAGTATGGAGATTATGTAAACAAAAAAGGATGTAACTCTGTAATTCTGATTTTTTAGCATGTGTGTCGGCAGAATGAGTGTTTTTGCATATATTTTCACTCTCATGAAGAAGAACTTGCAGCTTTACATATTATTCCGTGTAACTGTGGACGTTTGTGTGTGTTTTGAATCGACAATACAACCAGTGTTATCTAATAAGTAAACATAGCTAGCAGGTAAGTTAAGGTGGCTAATCAGCCAATTTGGCCATTTTAGGTTTGCATTTTCATAATTGTAGACAATGACTAAGAAAAGACAATTAAACTCAAGTCAACCAAAAAACCATGATGCTGACAACCCTACACATTTCATTACGTTACTATCGCGTAGTCACTTGTGCTTTAATGTTAATTCAGCCTTACCTCAAGTCTGTCGTACAGACTAAGCTTAGCATTAACGTTAACAGCTACTTACTTCCGATAAAGTGATTTAGGCTATCAAATGATCCTGTGTAGAGTTTTATGTAGAGCGCTAGCTGCCTATAAATCCGCGCTGTGTTCGGACTTTTCCACACGGTACCTTTAGCACAGGTCGTCAGAACAGCGGCTGTCGGATTAACGAACTGTCAACAAAGCGCAGCGGCTCCTTCAGCGCCCAGGACTCCACACAACACCGAGCTCATCACCAAAACTCACCTTTCTTTCTGCTACTTCCAAACTTGGTAGACTTCGTCCTTTTGTTCTTCATCCCTGACACCCAGAAAAGCTGATTTGTGCAGGTCGCTGATCAGGTTATCATCTCTGTTTCACAGCTCTGTGTGTCCAGAGCGCAGCTCAGCAACCAAACCACAACAACCGCCTCTTCACTCGGTCCGCTTCTTCTGTGGATTCGGGCGAAGCGCTCCATCACTCACGATCGCCACCTACAGGAAGGACGCGCTATCAGCCAGGTTTCCGTCCAGCTGTCGAGTTAAATTTAAGCGAAAAACTGAACTGTTGGAAAAATAACAACACACGGCTCAGTTTCAGTCGGCTTTGAATAAGAGAGCAAAACTCTGTACGACTCGAGTTCTGAGAAATGGTGAGCGACTTCTCACTGCTGTTCACTGTTATTTAGTTTTTTTTATGGCTGTACTTTACATCGTAGGAGCGTGGTTTGTTGTAGTGGAGGGTAAAGGTACGTAAACACCATTTACATATCTTTCAAAATATGAAAAGGCATTCATATCTTTTTAGAGTTCACTAATGTTTGTTTGTTTATTTATTTATATTTTATTTATTTATACATTTTAAGTTACTAAACTGTAAAAAATCAAGTCAGGCCAACTTGAAATTTTAGGTCAACCTTGCAAAGCTTTTTCTACAATTTTTCTTAACATAGTTTACTTCTCAAAAAAAAACCATACATTTTTTTAGTACTGTATCTTAGGGTTCGTGAACAAAACAGTTGAAGTTGAGCTTACTAAAAAAACAGTGCATGTGGTTGTGAATTTTATGGTGGAAAATTTTGTGTCATAAAGTGTGGATCAGGGGCGTAGCCAAGGGCAAGGCTGGGCTTACGCAGATTAATCACAGGCCTACGCAATCAAACAGGGAATTATGGCCAATCAAAATCATTTCTCTCTAAGCCACACTCCACCGAATCTGCCATCCAAGCACCACTGAGCAACTGTTGCTATCTGCCGTTGCCTTAAGCCTTCAGTTTGGTATCAGTGCCATCATAGCCATAACTAGCATAAGAAGGTTTTTTTTGTTTGTTTGAGATTCAATTGTGGAAACAAAGACGAGACTACACAATCAGCAGTGATCTCTGAACAGCTGTGGTTTGGCCATAGACTGAACTGCTGTGCTATGTTTATCTCTGTACGAGATGCTATGCTAATGTTATACAGAGTGAACTTGACTTCTTGAGATGTTCAGGTAGGCAGCACACATACTGTAGGCTAACATGCAAGATGGCTATGATACAAATTTGAGAATTTATGAGAGTAATTAACAGATTATGTCTGTAAAATGAAAACCCCATGATTATTTTTTTTATTCGGACAACGCTTAGCATTGGCTAAATCAGCATGCTTTAGTGTAGTTTCAATAGCTGCTCAGTTTAGGCTAATTTGACATGCTCCTTAACTGGCCACATTAGTGATCAAATGAGAAATCAATGGATAAAAGTTGTTGTATTGTGCTACCACCACATTATGTGTTACAAGGAGCGTAAGAAAGTTTACTGTTATCTAGCAATGTCGTGACCTGACGACACTGTGGTACATAGCATGCTTGGAAATTGTATCTACCAAGGTGGCCTACCTGCTTTTTCACAGGCCAGAAATTGATTTCTGCCTATGCCACTGGTGTGGTTGTTCCAATAGTTTTTTACAGCAAAAAAGTATCTGCCTCAGTGTACACACTTTGGGAATTCTGGTAATTTTCTTCAATACTTACTGTTTCCATAAAGTAAGTTTTGTTCAATTTGCTAAAATATGCACAAAATACATGAACGGAAACATAGGTCATCTCTGCATAGACATATCTGACCTGCACTTTCAACCTTACTGCTGAGCATGCGCACATTACATTTGAATACAAAGCAGTGGAACTCATTTTATTTATCAGTTTTATCAGTTATCAGCATTATTTCTTATTTCTGTTTTCTTTCATGTAATCTAGAAGTTTGTTGCTATGGCCTAGAACAGGGCTGCCCAAAGTGTGGTCCACAAAAACATTTGATTTGTCCCACCAGTAGGATACCCTAAACATATTTTTACACTACAAAGATTTTTACACTATATATAATTTTTTATATACATGTTGTATAATATATATATAGTATGTTTTATATTATATATCACTTATACTGAAATTAGTATTTGTGAGGTAATTTGGTAACAATTATTTAGTATTATAAAAATGTTATAAAATACTACTAAACTATAAATACTACTAAAAAAACTACATGCCTTCTTAATTTGTAAATTGCTTTGTGTTTTTGGCCCTCAGCTGTCACAAACATTGCACTTTGGCCCCCCCAAAACAAAAGGTTTGGGCACCCCTGATGTAAAGGTTTGAAATTAACCACTTGAAAGCCCTTTTGTGTATTTGTGTAGGTGTGTGTGTGTAGGTGTGTGTGTGTGTATGTGTGTGTGTGTAGGTGTGTGTGTGTGTGTGTGTGTGTGTTTGCATTCACTGTGCTTAACAAGTAAACATTTAGAAAGACCAACATTTTAAGGAAAATGTCTGACCTTATATATGGAGATTTTCTCCTTACAAAAAATACAATTTTAAAATTAACACTTGCAAATGGAAACGGAGAAGTAATAACATACTTTTCAAGGCATTTATTCATATTTTAGTAGTTTAGTAAAAATTTTGTTACAGGGGTAACTAACAAAAATTCAAGGCATATAATGATCATAACAAATAACAGATACACACAACACAGTCAAGTAAAAATGTATGCATACGACTGAAGTGATTTAATGTATCATCTTAGAATTTGTCCTAAATTTAAGCTACTGAAGTAGGTTTAAGTAACAATGTAACTGAACTAATGTTCTGTCGATGCGTAACCATTTTAGTGACGTGTATAGTCAAACTGCAAGACTGAAATAAGCAAATTAATGGCTGTAATATAAGTAAACCATGTTATGCAAGATGATGTTTGAGGCAGTAGCCAGGAAAATGCATCTCATTCGCTTTCTTTAACAAATATTAGGAGCATTAATGTCTGTAATGAACTATGTTACAGTACAGCAATCCTGCAATACCTGGTAGTGAAGTAGTCCACCCCAGATCACTGGTGTCCAGCTAACTTGCAGAAGCATGCAGTACCTGCAGTACCTTGGCAGTACTTTAACGTGAGGGATCATGGTTCAGGTAATCCCTCCCTTATATCAACATATCACACTTTAACTCTCATAAAACACACAGTAAGCTTTCATCTATTGTCACAGGAGCTCCAGTACCAAAAGAGAAGATGGACTACACAGAAGAACATCTGGATATGACCTTTAAGCTCTTTGCAGAGACATTTCTACACGATAAGCACATTTTCATCAATAGGAAGATATCAGTGGCTGATCTGGTAGCTCTTCTGAAGATGCAGGTAAAAGATACAACCTTTAAGTTTTTACTAAAAGTCATCAATCAATCTTTGGAAGATTAGAAAATACAAAAGTGTGTTGATCTTTAAAAATCAGGTAATAGATATTAAAAACAGCTACACACCTGAAAATGCATATATCCACTGTTAGGGAAATAAATAATAAGTTTAAAACAACCAGAGTGGTAGTGAACCTGTCTGGAAGAGGATGCAATTGTATTTTGCCTTCACGCACAGTAAGGAGGATGTTTATAGAGACAAACAGCCTTCAAGGATCAGAGTTGGAGATTTGCAGGAGTTTCATTTTAGGGTCACCAAGTCTTCAAAACTACAATTACACACCACCTCCATGCCAACCAACTATATGGAAATGTGTGCCAAAAGAAAGCCTTTTCATTCATCTTAACAAAAATGCAAGTGCTTGGAGTTTATTAGACATTCTGGAACTTCTATGGGTGAAATGGGAGAAAAGAAATTAAAATGTCCCCACTGTTATGGTGGAGGATCTGAAGTGTTTTGGGGCTGCTTTTCCACTAAAAGCCCTAAAAACCTTGGTAGGCATCATGGACTCCAGGAAGCCCCTGGAGATTTTAATTGGAAATCTGGCTGCCTCTTCCAAAAAGGTAAAAATGGGTTGTGAATGGATCTTCTATCAATACAATGATCCAAAACATATGTCAAATCCACACAAAAATGCTTCAGTGACCACAGAATGAAGCTTTTGACATGACCTAACCCCCACTGAAAATCTGAGCTGAAAAGGAAAGTCCAAAAGAAAGAACTCTGGAGGTTCTGGAGAAATTCCATGTTAAAAGGAGGTCTCAGATTCCTTGCTCTGTACACAAACAAACTAAAAAGACAAAAAAACTCAAGATAGACTTGGTTGTTAACAGCCCTTACCTCAGATTCCCTTCTTTAAAGCGCTGTCCATAAAATTTAGTTTGGTTCTAACTCACTTACAGTAAGCAAGCCTTAGGTATTACTAACACTATGTACCTGCTTCTGCCTCCCAGAGTCTGAAGGTGGTACAGTAATGGAAAGTAGAACATTATGTGGATGATAATGGCCCAATCCCATTTCTTATTTTCACCCTATCCCTTGTTTTCCAGTGTCACCTTGAAAAACTGAGTTACAACAGGTAGTCATTGAAATCTTCCTCTACGAAATGGGACCCTCAAATAAAAAAGAACTTTACTTCATTAACAGGTCACTAGCGGTTCTCTGTAGGCGACCCTGCCAGTCTGCAGTGATAGCAGAGGAGGGTAAAGTTCAGGAACCTCACTGCTGGGCTTTAGTTAAATTTAGGGAATCATATGCCTTCAAAAAAGGGGGGGGGGTGCAACAATTATTTATTATCGCCTAATTCTTCAGTGAAGCTGAAGTCAGCTATTCGCCAGCATCTTGTTCGAATTGAGCTAGCTAGCCAGCGAGACATCAGCATACTACTAGCAATTTTTTATGCATGTTATGAAGAAAAGGACCATATTACAATAAAACAACATTAAACTAAAATAATACGGTGGTTATCATAATTTTTTACAGAGAAAATTCTCACATTTGTGGGTTTCTTTGGTCGCATGTGCAGCCATCTTGCTGTTTTTTCTTTTTTTCTCACAACACTTTTAAAGCGTTCGGAGTGTGCTGCTGAAAAACTTCTGTTTGGATGGCCACGTAGCCCTAACACTTTGCCCTACCCCTCTACCTCAACTAAAATTGGGACACCCTAGCCCTAGGCATGAGTGCGCAAAACAAAGAGGGATAAGAGCTAAATGGTAGGGGCAAGTGAAATGGGATTGGGCCAATGTAGCTCCAGTTTTGGCTGTTAGGTACATAAGGTCTGTCCATACCATTTTCCCAAATTCTTTGTTTATAAATGAGTTTATGTAGCTTATCAATGAAATATGAAGAAAATATATGAAGATTTTGGCATGTATTTGTGAAGGCGGTTTTTACTTTCATTGTATGTTTGCACCATTAGCCTGGCAGCTCCAGTTCTAAACTAAAGAGGCAAAACTTAGACACCAATCACGTCTTGGTTTATCGACTGCGTTTGGGGTAAGTACACATTAAAATAAATTTGATTTTTCACCAAATTATTCCTTTTAAGGATTTTTATGGTAAAAGGAAAAGGTCCACTTTGACAAAGACAAGTTTGCTAGTTAGCCCATTATGTTTAGTTTCACAGAAAAAAAACCTGCACATCTCTCACTAAAGACAAATTGGAATTTCAACCCATCGACAAGACAGCAGGGTTGCTAGCTCTTGAGTCAAATGCCTCAAGCTACCTCTGTCTTCGTCATCTGCTTTGTTTCATTGATGGTTTCTTCTTGGGTTTTCCTACAACAGCACATACTCCAGAACTTCCTTCTCAGGTGCGTTTTGGAAGCGGTCAGGAGGGCAGCAGTCATGATGCAATAGAAAGAGAAGCCAAATATTATTAGGAGGTAACTAACATTTACCCCAATAAGCCTTAAGACAAAGAAGAGCGCCACAATGATCAGGGTGGTGAGATATACTCCTGCTAGAGACACGTTCAGCTTGCAGACAGACAGGTAAGAGTCTAAACTCTGCACTTGGGTCTGGTTCTTGCGAAGCGTCAACATGTGTTGACACAGATGGATCACCATTCTGATGGATGTTGGTAGCATGATCGCCAGAGGGAGAGGGCAGAGGAAAGACATGAAACTCACAGTATAGGCATCTGAATTAATCAGTGGAGAGAACATGGGCGCACTACATGTCAAATAGGATGCATTTGAGGTGTTCAAGGTGTTGTTGATACCAAGTGTCCCAGTTATGGCTCCTGGTTCAGCTTCAGGAATGTGGAGTGTGAAGAAAGGGAAAAACAGGACGAAAGAACCCACGCAGCTCAGCAGGAGCGCAGTGTTGGTGATGATGGAGATGTTCCTCTTTAGTGCTCTGAGACACTCGGCGGAAAAGTTCACAACTTTCACACAGTAGAACACACTCAGCCATGCAATGGACCAGAAGCTCATACAACTACTGCTCATCCACAGAAACAATAATGTAAGATATTGAGGTTGAACCACCGTAGTGCAAATAAACAGTGGATTTAGGCTAATAAAAACCACCATGAAGAAACAGGACAGTACCAGAGTATTGTTGTTGATGGAGATGGAAATTATGATGAGGCTCATGGTTTGAACACTCTTGGTCTTCAGCTGCTTTTGGATGGTCATAAAGAGGTTAAACGAGTTCCACACTACACCGATACACACCATTACACTTACAGCCATTATCGCACAGATGAGTACACCAGAGGCCATTATGTCCCTCCACTGAGTTTAACCAAGTACACATAGGAGCCGCATTGTCTTATAGAGAGATGAATGGATGCCACATGCAAAGTGAGGCATTACCTGAGTCACATTAGTGGTTGATTTAGATGAGGGAATTCTGTGCATGGAGTTAAATATATGAAAACACAAATCAGTGGTTGCAAAATTTCAGTCTAACAAGTCACGCTAGCATATGGCCTTGATCAACTTTCCAGCCTTCTAGATAAACATTCAGAACAAAAATCATTACATTTTGCAGTATACTTCTAAATATGTTGATATTTTTTATTCAACAACCTATAAAGCTTGATTCCTACATCTCCCAAAATTAATTTGGACTGTTATAGCTGCATGGGGTATGGGTATATTGGCACTGCCGGACATCACCATGCTTCCTCATCTACCGAGGGTTATTTATTTTTGCAACTTTGTAAAGATCTATGGTTTCTATGGGATTCACAAACATTTTTTATTCTGAGTCAATATGCTGACTTGTGCTATTGAATATTGTACATGAAAAATGTTGTGTGAAAAGTCACACAACATTGAAGGGCCATGAAAGGCCTTTCTTGTCCTGAGAAACACTGATGCGTTCAAGCCAGAAGATTTTAAGAAGGATTTAAAGTTTGGACTTTTAAAAAGCATGAAATCCAGACTTTAATTCTTACTGTGGACTCTCGGCAGAAACAGAAAACCTGAGCTCAGGTAGGCTGCCTGTAACTGAGCTAACACTGCTTTAACTGCCTAAAAATGGGGCTTACTTGACAACATTACAAAATGTTTTTTATTCATAAACTGAGCTCATGTGCAGTGAAATAAAATACACGTAATCCAATTTGACCAGACTTGTTTAGGTCCCATGGCCACAAATTGAATATATAAACAAAGCCAATCTTTTCAGATCTGAGCCACTTTCATATGTGGGTCTAGATAGGATACATATGCGATGGTTATGTGACATTAATGAGAACGGTCAGATCGGAATTCATGTTTTTTTTTTTTTAATTTGCATGCGCCATCATTCAGTGTTAATGTGGCAGCAGCTCCTAACCTGAAGTGTCTGTAAACACAACAAAAGCATCTGACCTTTCTTATGATGCACTTGAAGTTGTCTCTATTCTATCACTTCCAACTTCAAAAAATAAAATGGGTTTCTGGTCACTCTAGAATAACTAAGGTTGAATCTTAATGTAAACACATCCGCCATATTAAACTCCAACTTCTACTTTAGCTAGTTCTGTATTCCCAGTTGGAAGGAAGTGTGTTAGTGGAAAGTTGTATTACTGGATACACTGTTTCCATTGTGTAAGATTTGATTTTAGTTAATGGGAGTGACTAATTGAGAGAGTCATGCCGCTGTGGGGATTCTTGGGGGATGAGACCTCTCTATGTTTGAAACATGCCCAGAGATGTCACTACTACAGTTTTTCTCTATTTTTTTTTCTGACGTATCTTGGAAAAATTTTTCAAACCTCTGGCATTATGCAGGATGTTCTGTAAATACCCTATTTAAGAATTTGCTAAGATTATTTTAAAAAAAGTCTTAGAAATCCCAGTAATCCCAAACACATTCAATGCAGTGGCGTAGCCACGGGTAGGCCCGGGCCTACTCCAACTGCTCAAAGGCCTTCAAAATCAAATCGGGGCAAATATTTTTAAGTTACATTGGCTATGTTTACATGCAGAAATTTCACTAATTAGATTGAAGTCATTCTGATTATAGATTAAGACTGAGGTGTTTATATGCACACTCTACTCAACCGTCTGATGAAAATCTCTGTTTAAATGCACACAATCAGATCCAAAATTATGCACATGCGTAGAGTACCACTTTTAGACATTACCAATGACAACGTTTGTGTAAAGCCACTGCTGTTCATTTACTCATGTACTTGTCTGAACAGCTTGTTAGTGCAAGCTTTATGGCCGTCCATGCTAACTACTTTTAAGTCTTTTAAGGTCTGAAGCATAAACTTCATCTCCTCTGCAAACCAGTTTCTGGCTCCTGTCATACTGAAGATGATAATCTTCCGTTATGATACAAATGCACAGGTGCAGAACATACTCAAGCTTTCCAATTGGGTATGTAATCAGATACAGGCATTTACATGGCTATTATTCTTTTATTTAATGGATCATTTACAGGATTACCCCCTTATTCGGAATGGCATCAAACGTACTAGTCTATTCTTACTGAGGTGTATATATGTTAGTATTCTATTCCAATGGAGCAGTTAGTCAGATTATTCTATATGTTAAGAATTTTCAGGCTGCAAATGTGGCTTTTTTTCAAGATAATTTAATCTGATTTGTTTTCTGTGAGCGCCGTCATTGTATTATGGCCCATCAAAATTGTTATGCTTCCCAAGACGCTCTGCCTTATCAGTCCTCCAATCACTGCTTAGCAACCTTGCTATCCGCCTCAAGCCTTCAGTTCATTATCAGCACCCAAATTATTCCTGTAAAATGAAAACCCTATATTTGGACAACTCTTAGCTAAATCTGCATGATTTAGTCTAGTTTAGTTGTTCAATTTAGGCTGACGTGACAAGCTCCTTAACTGGCTATATTAGCGATCAAATGAGAAATTAATGGTAGTTCAAAGGTGTTGCATTGTATTAGAAAGGTAGTTAAATGAAATAAAACCAATGTAAAACTATCACCTGATTTAGGATAGGTTTCAACATTTCAGAATTTTCAGCTGTATTTAAAAAAAAATAAAAATATGCCCACAACGGCAGCATGCTTTAGCATACAATGGGTAGGTTGTTAAGTTTGCTGTGTGGTTTATCTCTGTCTGATTATAAAGTTGTGCCTGTGGTGAGCGGTGATACTGAAGGGTGCTGTTGGTTGGTGAAGGGAAGTGCTGGTTGGGCTTATGTGAATCTAGTATTTTGGTTGATGTCAGTTATATCAGGGTTGAAGCACTAAAAAAGGTACAATGATGGCTGCACTGCTGTCAGCAATAGGCTGTAGTCGATGTCTACCAAGTTGGCATACCCATTTTTTCACAGGCCTACCCAAACATTTATGTCTGCCTACACCACTGATTCAGTGATTTTGAGGTGAATCTAGAGGGCAGTCTGTTGCTTTGAGAACAAAAGCAGTTTCTTTGTTTGATTTGTCAAATTTTCTTCTTCTTTGTCTATTTCTTTTCTCAGTAACAACTTCATGTCCTTTCAGACTCATAGTGTTAAGTTGTCTTCTTACAGTGGAAGGATGGACAGAAACACCTGTGGATTTTTCAGATCTGAAGTAAGAGTGGAGTGTGATTTTCTCTTCTCTCTCAAAGATGAAAGCTTTAAGTACTGTTTATCTGATGGTGGCAGTTTTGGTGGTCTATCAGGTGGTTTTGCATGGAGTTACATTTTCTTTATTTATCTCTGTAATTTCTTACAAACTCCAGTTTGGGAAACTCCTGTTTTGTCACTTATTTTCTTAGACTTTCCCCTTCCTTATGCAGCTGAATTGTCTTATGTTTTGCATCTACTCTCTGCAGAAATATATCCTAAAATGAATGACTTATGCTGTTGTTGAAGCTACTGAAAACTTCTGGATACAACACTGGTACCACAAATTGTTACTATTGTCTGTAATAGGCAGCCCTTTCTTTCTTCATTTTTCTTTATTTAATAAAGGTATGGCAGCCCTAGCAGCACCTAATAAAGAGGTCACAGAGTGCACCTCCCCTCTCTGTTTCCCCTCCAGCTCCTCTACCTCTACAGTGTTAAGGCCCTTTCTAAATGGATGGTTGGTGTTTCATTCGTGAGACTGCTTATCTCAATGTCTTTTATAAACATTTGAATAGTAAATGATTTAAATGATTAAACTTGGTTATTTCCATAAGATGCATGACTTATTTGTGTGGATTGCAGCCGACATGCATTTGAATAGTCAAAATAGAACAATGTATTTAACATATCACAGAGACATCTGTACTCATTCTTCAAAAGTAATTACATCTACAGTGTTTTTGTAAAAACCTAAAGGCAAAGGAAATGAAGTGAATGCAACTGTGGAATGTCACTGTTTATTTTAAGGACATTCTTGAATTAAATTCAATTTATTGGGATGTTTTAGATGTTAGTCTTGCACTGGAATTTCCCATTCAGGTTCCAGTGAAAAGAGGACAAGCAGTCACAAAACGTAGGTAAAGGAATGATTATAGAAGCTTCATACAAAGAGTTTGAGAGTCAGAGGTCTGACCCTCATCTTTTTCTAAAAGCCAGAGGACACTGTCAGAACAAACACAAATTTGGTTGATGAGCCATACCCATGTCTGACTGTTTGTAGACTCTAAAATGTTTTCCATCCATTCACTCTAGTTCATTTTACTTGTCGATTCCTTTTCTGAACACTGGGCCTCATTCAGCAATCGTTCTTAGGAAGAAACTTTTTCTTAAAACCTTCTTACATAGTTTTTGTGAAGATTCTGACATTCACCAATATTTTCGTATTTGGGATTTGTTCTTAGGTAAGAACAGAATCTACACACACTCGAGGGCACCAAGGTGTGAACAATTCTGTGGTTTAAGAACACGTCATGAATCTGATGCAGACGTTTTCTTAGGACCTTTGTCAAGAAAAAACTCAGGAAGATGAGGCCCATCTGGAGAATAACTGCAAAGGTTACATTGTTTTTGTTTGTCCTGTCCATGTACTCTGGCCATTCATCTAACTGTTGCCTCTGAGGCCCCCGCAGAGACATAATCTAATTTACAGCATGTTGCAACCGCTTAACAAGACAGACAGTGTAATCATGTTTCAGAAGGAAACAAACAAAGGGCCTCATTCACCACCCATTCTTAAGAAAAGCCCACTTAGGCAGTTTTCATGAAGATTCTAACATTCACTAATGTTTCTCATTTGGGATTTGTTCATAGGTAAGAACAGCAAGAACAGAATCTATGCACACTCGAGAGCACACAGGTCTGAACAGTTCTGTGGTTTAAGGGCAT